TATAAATCCACCTGAATGTAAACACTAGTGATTGAAGCTCTAGTGTCATGGATTCTACACTACAGTGTTTATAGCTTAGAAGCTTAGTACTCTAGCTTTAACTAAGGGTTAATTCAATGTCTTGAATTCCTAAAGCGGCACAAAATCAGCTGTGTTTATACGCATTGTATATTGTCAAATTAGTGTTTTGTAAGTGGCCATACCTGCAGGTGAAAGCCAGATCCTGTCCGACTTCTGAAACTGTGCAGGGCAGGGCCTGGCTAGTACTGTGATGGGAGACCTCTGGGAACACCAGGTGCCACAGTGGGGCGGCTGTGGTTGTGTCCTTAGGCAAGACACTTCACCCCCATTAGAATGAGTCTGGTGTGTGTGAAGGGTTGGTGGTGGTCGGAGGGGCTGATGGCACAGACTGTTTGCCTCGCTTCTGTCAGTGTGCCCCAGGGCAGCTGTGGCTACAGCAGTAGTTTATCACCACTGTGTTTTGGAGTGAATCAATAATGTCACGTGAAGTGTTGTTGAGCGTCCAGAAAATCGCTGTATAAAACAAATGCATACATATTTTTATTATTATTATTATTGTTTAGTGTTTGGTGGTATAATAAAGTTATTTTTCTTCAGATGACTTCAAACCTGCTTCTATTGACACCTCTTGTGAAGGGGAGCTGGAAGTGGGCAAAGGGGAACAAGTCACGATAACATTACCCAATTTAGAGGTAAGTCTTCATCATTATCTTCTTTGTTCAGACTCTACGCCCACACTCAAACAAGAAACACAGACATGACTCTCAGAACAAATGTTTTATTTATTTTTTTCATTTTATATGGACACAACATTTACATTGGACAGACCTTTTTTTATATACTTCTTTGTGTTTCCTTGACACTGAATGTACAGACTTTGTTAGCATAACAATGTTTTAAATACATATGCATGCTACAGTCAAGTGTATGTATATCATATACTATTTTTGATTATTACGCACCCAGTTAACTGTATATCTCTGATGGATCTCTGTGTGTGGTCCTGCAGGGCTCCAGTGCTCCGGTCACCGTGTTCAAAGGCTCCAAGCGTCCGTACATGAAGGAGTGTATCCTCATCGTGAACCACGACACCGGAGAATACAGACTGGAGAAACTTAGCAGCAACATTGCTGTCAAGAAAACAAGGCGAGTGGACGATTTCTATTGTGCCTCCTGTTCAGCTCTCACCAGTAAAAAGTCATTTCAGGCCTGAGAATACACTTTCAAACAACGGCAAATTTGTTTATTTCAACATTTTGGGCCAAATGCGCTCGAAAAGAATAGAGCATAGATGCAATTAATACAGTCTTATTTCTACTATTTCTGCTTTAGCTTTAGCCTCAGCATTAGCATTGGTATTAGCTCTGTGTCTTAGCTCAACGTCAGGGTTTCAAACATATAGAGAAGACTTGCCGAGCCATGTTCCAGCTTCTTCCCTCTGGCAGAAGATATTGTTGGCTATCCAGATTGCAGGACATCTGGATATTCTAACAGCTGTTATCAGTCTGAGCAAAGCACTAACACTAACCCTGCACACGTATTGAAACTGTATTAGTGGATTGATTTTTCAGAGACAATTGTTTCTTGCACCTTTTACCTTGTTTTGTTTATGTACCTGTCTGCTGCACACACTGGGGACTACACATGTATTCCAATGTGGTTTTACTGAATCTGAAACGTCTTACCTGTGGAGCAACATGGAGGACCAATACAATGGACCAGGAAGTGTGCAGAAGAGGGACCATATATAGTCAGCAGTTTAATACCAGAATGGAAGACTTACGTGTTTGTCTGTGTTGTTTGGTGCAGAGCGGAGGGCAGCAGTAAGGTCCAGTCTCGTCTGGAGCAGCAGACCAGTCGTCTCACACAGATGAGGAACACCAAACCCTCCAGCTCCAAGAGTCCCCCCATCAAAGAGAAGACCTCCCCCGCCTCCCCCATGGACGACATTGAGAGAGGTAACCGTTACTGACACGCACGCACACACAGAGACATGCCAGATCCAGGACTGAGGCTGTAGACCCAGGAGGACTGAGGCTGTAGACCCAGGAGGACTGAGGCTGTAGACCCAGGAGGACTGAGGCTGTAGACCCAGGAGGACTGAGGCTGTAGACCCAGGAGGACTGAGGCTGTGGACCCAGGAGGACTGAGGCTGTAGACCCAGGAGGACTGAGGCTGTGGACCCAGGAGGACTGAGGCTGTAGACCCAGGAGGACTGAGGCTGTAGACCCAGGAGGACTGAGGCTGTAGACCCAGGAGGACTGAGGCTGTAGACCCAGGAGGACTGAGTAGGGCTGGGCGATAAAACGATAACGATATATATCGCGATAGACATGTGTTCGATATCAATAGAGAATGGGGTCGATAGAATGTTCGATAGTTTAACTTAACTCCGTCAGGAAAAACAGGAAGAAAACACCGGAAGTAAAGCCGACTCATAAGCGCATGGCATTGTGGGGGATGTAGGCAGAGGCTTCTCGACCAATAACAGCCGAGCAGGAACCGCAAAACTTTCTGGGAAATGCAAAAACACCAACAACCGCAGCATGCGTGGCGTCCATGGATCTATAGCTCGTGTTTCAATGCCGTGTCAATGGTTGTGCACGTACGTGCGCGGAATAACATGTGCGGCGGCAGAGGCAGTGGACAGACACGATGTATTCGGCGAAAGCAAGAGATTAACTTTTTCCTCGGGAAGCATGTGCGGCAACGGGGACACAAGACCCTCAAACAGCTAAACCAGGAGCTAAACCAGGAATAAAAAACCAGGATTAAACCAGGACTAACAACGAGGGACACAGTGTGAACATATTCCTCCAGCCTCATCGCCCCGTGACTGTAAACAAGGCTGCTAAAGTTGGTTAGCCCACACGACAAATATATTTATTTAGGTAAAAAAAAAAAAACTCAATATATATCGTTATCGACCGATATGAATGACTTATATCGTGATATAGTTTTCAGCCATATCGCCCAGCCCTAGGACTGAGGCTGTAGACCCAGGAGGACTGAGGCTGTAGACCCAGGAGGACTGAGGCTGTAGACCCAGGACTGAGAGAGGTGTACCCTATGAGTCCGGGTCTGGGGGAGTCCTGAAAGAGGCTGGATTCAGGGGTCCCGTTATCACGCCATGAATCAGACAATGAGACAGCGGGTGCATAGCAATGAACAGACTACAGCTGAAATCATAATGACAGATAAAGTAGGAAGAAGAGAGGATAGTGCAGTTACCGTTCTTCTGCAGAAGGGGTTTCCATCCACAGCTGGATTGACGATCTGAGTTTTAATAACTTAAAGTTGTATTTAGGGATGTAAATCGGTGACCGTTTAACCGGTGGTTGACCGTCACAGCGTTAACCGGTCAAAGCTGTCGGTTAAAAAAGAGAAAAGGGGGAGAGGGGAGGTCTCTTAAAGAAGCTATACCCGATTTTTTTTCTAAGTAGTTCATAAAAATGCTTTTTACTACATACAAGTTGTATCAAAATACATCATTTAATTGAAAACTTGAGGTCATTGATTCAGCTGTGTAAGAATTACAAGCAGTGAAAAGTGCTGAGTAGAGTCTGAGCGGGCCGCTCTTTCTCCTCCGCTCACAGAACGAGCAGCGAACAGCCTGCGTCCTCTAGCCTCTACAGCGCTGCTAAACACCAGGGCTTCGACTTCAAAATTCGAATATAATTCTAAAATAAAAAATGAACAAAATAATTGAATAAAAAATGTGAACAAATCTTAGACAACCCTTGTAATTCGAAATGTATTTAATGACTGCCAATAAAATAGTGAGCTCCCAAAGGTTTCACCGGGACGTGCTAGGCAGGTAACAGCTAAGCTAGCTAGTTGTTTCATGGTAACTTCCGGGTTTTTCGCAATCGCTTTTTGTCACATTGAAACAGTATTTTTGTCATGAAAACGTTAACAGCAAATTCTGAAATCATCCGTGCATGTGTGTTAAGGATGTATATGTGTACTGTATTGTCCGATTGACGTTTAATGGTGTTGATTGATAGATATGTAGTTGTTTATTGAGCGTGGCTAGCTCCGCTAGCTCCGTTGGCTTCTCTACACAAGTGTGTAGTGACAGGCGCTGATAGCTTGTTGTACTTGCAGAGTAATGGCAGTATTTTACACACCTGAATTACAAACAGAGGTTGCATTGGGGCTTCGGTCATTATTGGTTTGAGAGTTCTGTTATCAAGAAAAAATGATCGGAAGAATTGCTGCTGCTGCTTTGAGGAGCTCTATAACACATTATAATTAAATATTAGAATATATTCTAAGGTTTTAAATTAATACATTCGGACGCGAAACTAGCGGTATTCTTTTACTTATATATTGTGTTAGCAGTGCATTGCTTTAGTACCATTTCATCAGTGATTGTTGCACAGCTTACAAGAAGTTGCGCTAATGCTAATGTTAGCATATGTATCAGATCGCAAATAAAACTAGGTGGCTCTGTGTTATGAGAGCGTAGGGGAAATGAGAAGCCATTGAGCGAGTTGGGGGGCGGTGCTAAACATTCAAACATTGCAGAAACGGGTATAGCGCCTTTAATAACGCTATTTTAAGCCCTATTTGCACGGTGTGACGAGCCGGTCCCTATCTAGCTGTGTGCGCCAATGTAACAGTAAACTCTGGGCCGACTCACACACACACACACACACACACACACACACACACACACACACACACACACACACACACACACACACACACACACACACACACACACACACACACACACACACACACACACACACACACACACACACACACACACACACACACACACACACACACACACACACACACACACACACACACACACACACACACACACACACCATCTCTCCCCTCTGTTACCGCCTGCTAGTTGCACACTGGTGCGGGTCAGAACTACATTGGAGCTTATATTTACACACACATACACACATGTATTGCACACACACACAGACATATACATACATGTATTGTACACACACGCATACCGGTCTGTCGCGCTCCTCTGTGTCACGGAGCCCAAAGCATTCTTGCAAATACACGGCTCCAGTCAAACCACATGGACCATGTTTGTGCTGCTGGTCCTTGGCATCAGCTCCACACTGATCACTTTTAAACTTTAGCGGAGACCTGCGAGACGCGGCTCGTCACTCGCTGCTCTGACCATGTGGACGAGCGGTCTTTTGCTTAAAAATGCTTTAAGCCGCAGCACAGAAGAATGGGAAGATTAAAACAGCAGTTCTCTGTGCGCAAAGGTGCCAAAGCTGTTACGGGTTTTGGTGCCGCTGTCTCGGCTCTGATCCAGTAGAACGCTCAGCTGCACTTATGAAAAGTACGCGGCTCGAAATGGCTGTTATTTCAAAGAACGTGGACTATTTTAAACTACGCGGTTAACCGGTTTCAACCGGTTAATGAGGCTCAGTGGTCGGTCATGAAAATTCATAGTTTTTTACATCCCTAGTTGTATTATTCCTCTCTCTCACATCCTCCCTCTCTCTCTCACCCCCCCTCTCTCTCTCCTCTCTTTCACCACCTCTCCTCTCTCTCACACCTCCTCTCGCCACATCTCCTCTCTCACTTCTCTCACCTCTCTCTCTCTGTATTTCTCTCTCGCTCTCCTCTCCCTCTCTCTCTTTCCTCTCTCTTTCCTCTCTCACACCTCTCTCCCTCTCTCTCACCCCACCTCTCTCTCTCCTCTCTTTCACCACCTCTCCTCTCTCTCACACCTCCTCTCTCTCATCTCCTCTCTCTCTCTCTCTCTCAGAGCTGATGGCTGAGGCTCAAGGCATGGACCAGCTCAGCAGCAGTGACTCCTCCAACGCCTCGTCCTCCTCCAGCAGCGACTCCAGCAGCAGTGACTCTGAGGACGAGCAGAAGCCTCCTTCTCCTCCTCCCCCCGCCTCCTCCTCCTCTGCCTCTTCCTCTGCACCCGCGGGACCTCAGGGAGCAGCCGGAGCACAGGGTCCGGCAGGCACACCCTACCACAGCATGCCCCTCCTGCAGCCGCCCAGGCCCCAGGAGAGCAGCGGGGCCAGCATCAGCACCCTCAGTGAGTACCAGCAAATCAACAAACACACTAATGTACAATTCAACACTACCAGAACTTTGGGAGACTGAGGGAGAGGGAAGGAGAGAGAAAGAGCGAGAAGAGAGAGAGAGAAGAGATACAGACTCAAGATGGAGAGGAGAGAGAGACGAGAGAGTGACCAGGGAGAGGGACGAGAGAGGGAGTCTCCGGAGAGGGAGAGTGTCCGGAGAGGGAGAGTGTCCGGAGAGGGAGAGGGAGAGGGAGAGTGTCCGGAGAGGGAGAGTGTCCGGAGAGGGAGAGTGTCCGGAGAGGGAGAGTGTCCGGAGAGGGAGAGTGTCCGGAGAGGGAGAGGGAGAGTGAGTGTCCGGAGAGGGAGAGTGAGTGTCCGGAGAGCGAGAGGGAGAGTGTCCGGAGAGCGAGAGGGAGAGTGTCCGGAGAGCGAGAGGGAGAGTGTCCGGAGAGGGAGAGGGAGAGTGTCCGGTGAGGGAGAGGGAGAGTGTCCGGAGAGGGAGAGGGAGAGTGTCCGGAGAGGGAGAGGGAGAGTGTCCGGAGAGGGAGAGGGAGAGTGTCCGGAGAGGGAGAGTGAGTGTCCGGAGAGGGAGAGTGAGTGTCCGGAGAGGGAGAGTGAGTGTCCGGAGAGGGAGAGTGAGTGTCCGGAGAGGGAGAGTGAGTGTCCGGAGAGGGAGAGTGAGTGTCCGGAGAGGGAGAGTGAGTGTCCGGAGAGGGAGAGTGAGTGTCCGGAGAGGGAGAGTGAGTGTCCGGAGAGGGAGAGTGAGTGTCCGGAGAGGGAGAGTGAGTGTCCGGAGAGGGAGAGTGAGTGTCCGGAGAGGGAGAGTGAGTGTCCGGAGAGGGAGAGTGAGTGTCCGGAGAGGGAGAGTGAGTGTCCGGAGAGGGAGAGTGTCCGGAGAGGGAGAGGGAGAGTGTCCGGAGAGGGAGAGGGAGAGTGTCCGGAGAGGGAGAGGGAGAGGGAGTGTCCGGAGAGGGAGAGAGAGTGTCCGGAGAGGGAGAGAGAGTGTCCGGAGAGGGAGAGTGAGTGTCCGGAGAGGGAGAGTGAGTGTCCGGAGAGGGAGAGTGAGTGTCCGGAGAGGGAGAGTGAGTGTCCGGAGAGGGAGAGAGAGTGTCCGGAGAGGGAGAGTGTCCGGAGAGGGAGAGTGTCCGGAGAGGGAGAGTGTCCGGAAAGGGAGAGTGTCCGGAGAGGGAGAGTGTCCGGAGAGGGAGAGTGTCCGGAGAGGGAGAGAGAGTGTCCGGAGAGGGAGAGAGAGTGTCCGGAGAGGGAGAGAGAGTGTCCGGAGAGAGGAGGGGAGAGAGAGTGTCCGGAGAGGGAGAGAGAGTGTCCGGAGAGGGAGAGAGAGTGTCCGGAGAGGGAGAGAGAGTGTCCGGAGAGGGAGAGAGAGTGTCCGGAGAGGGAGAGAGAGTGTCCGGAGAGGGAGAGAGAGTGTCCGGAGAGGGAGAGAGAGTGTCCGGAGAGGGAGAGAGAGTGTCCGGAGAGGGAGAGAGAGTGTCCGGAGAGGGAGAGAGAGTGTCCGGAGAGGGAGAGAGAGTGTCCGGAGAGGGAGAGAGAGTGTCCGGAGAGGGAGAGAGAGTGTCCGGAGAGGGAGAGAGAGTGTCCGGAGAGGGAGAGAGAGTGTCCGGAGAGGGAGAGAGAGTGTCCGGAGAGGGAGAGAGAGTGTCCGGAGAGGGAGAGAGAGTGTCCGGAGAGGGAGAGAGAGTGTCCGGAGAGGGAGAGAGAGTGTCCGGAGAGGGAGAGAGAGTGTCCGGAGAGGGAGAGAGAGTGTCCGGAGAGGGAGAGAGAGTGTCCGGAGAGGGAGAGTGTCCGGAGAGGGAGAGTGTCCGGAGAGGGAGAGAGAGTGTCCGGAGAGGGAGAGAGAGTGTCCGGAGAGGGAGAGAGAGTGTCCGGAGAGGGAGAGAGAGTGTCCGGAGAGGGAGAGAGAGTGTCCGGAGAGGGAGAGAGAGTGTCCGGAGAGGGAGAGAGAGTGTCCGGAGAGGGAGAGAGAGTGTCCGGAGAGGGAGAGAGAGTGTCCGGAGAGGGAGAGTGTCGAGAGGAGAGAGGGAGAGGGAGAGTGTCCGGAGAGGGAGAGGGAGAGTGTCCGGAGAGGGAGAGTGTCCGGAGAGGGAGAGTGTCCGGAGAGGGAGAGTGTCCGGAGAGGGAGAGTGTCCGGAGAGGGAGAGGGAGAGGGAGTGTCCGGAGAGGGAGAGAGAGTGTCCGGAGAGGGAGAGTGAGTGTCCGGAGAGGGAGAGTGTCCGGCGAGGGAGAGGGAGAGTGTCCGGAGAGGGAGAGGGAGAGTGTCCGGAGAGGGAGAGGGAGTGTCCGGAGAGGGAGTGTCCGGAGAGGGAGAGAGAGTGTCCGGAGAGGGAGAGTGAGTGTCCGGAGAGGGAGTGTCCGGAGAGGGAGAGTGAGTGTCCGGAGAGGGAGTGTCCGGAGAGGGAGAGTGAGTGTCCGGAGAGGGAGTGTCCGGAGAGGGAGAAGGAGAGTGTCCGGAGAGGGAGAAGGAGAGTGTCCGGAGAGGGAGAGGGAGAGTGAGTGTCCGGAGAGGGAGAGAGTGTGTCCGGAGAGGGAGAGGGAGAGGGAGAGTGTCCGGAGAGGGAGAGGGAGAGTGTCCGGAGAGGGAGAGGGAGAGTGTCCGGAGAGGGAGAGTGTCCGGAGAGGGTCCGGAGAGGGTCCGGAGAGGGAGAGTGAGTGTCCGGAGAGTGAGTGTCCGGAGAGGGAGAGTGAGTGTCCGGAGAGGGAGTGTCCGGAGAGGGAGTGTCCGGAGAGGGAGTGTCCGGAGAGGGAGTGTCCGGAGAGGGAGTGTCCGGAGAGGGAGTGTCCGGAGAGGGAGTGTCCGGAGAGGGAGTGTCCGGAGAGGGAGTGTCCGGAGAGGGAGTGTCCGGAGAGGGAGTGTCCGGAGAGGGAGTGTGTCCGGAGAGGGAGAGGGAGTGTCCGGAGAGAGAGTGTCTGGAGAGGGAGAGAGAGTGTCTGGAGAGGGAGAGAGAGTGTCTGGAGAGGGAGAGAGAGTGTCTGGAGAGGGAGAGAGAGTGTCTGGAGAGGGAGAGAGAGTGTCTGGAGAGGGAGAGAGAGTGTCTGGAGAGGGAGAGAGAGTGTCTGGAGAGGGAGAGAGAGTGTCTGGAGAGGGAGAGAGAGTGTCTGGAGAGGGAGAGAGAGTGTCTGGAGAGGGAGAGAGAGTGTCCGGAGAGGGAGAGTGAGTGTCCGGAGAGGGAGAGTGAGAGGGAGAGTGTCCGGAGAGGGAGAGTGTCCGGAGAGGGAGAGTGTCCGGAGAGGGAGAGTGTCCGGAGAGGGAGAGTGAGAGGGAGAGTGTCCGGAGAGGGAGAGTGTCCGGAGAGGGAGAGTGTCCGGAGAGGGAGAGTGTCCGGAGAGGGAGAGTGTCCGGAGAGGGAGAGTGTCCGGAGAGGGAGAGAGAGTGTCCGGAGAGGGAGAGAGAGTGTCCGGAGAGGTAGAGAGAGTGTCCGGAGAGGGAGTGTCCGGAGAGGGAGAGTGAGTGTCCGGAGAGGGAGTGTCCGGAGAGGGAGAGTGAGTGTCCGGAGAGGGAGTGTCCGGAGAGGGAGAAGGAGAGTGTCCGGAGAGGGAGAGGGAGAGTGAGTGTCCGGAGAGGGAGAGAGTGTGTCCGGAGAGGGAGAGGGAGAGGGAGAGTGTCCGGAGAGGGAGAGGGAGAGTGTCCGGAGAGGGAGAGGGAGAGTGTCCGGAGAGGGAGAGGGAGAGTGTCCGGAGAGGGTCCGGAGAGGGTCCGGAGAGGGTCCGGAGAGGGTCCGGAGAGGGAGAGTGAGTGTCCGGAGAGTGAGTGTCCGGAGAGGGAGAGTGAGTGTCCGGAGAGTGAGTGTCCGGAGAGTGAGTGTCCGGAGAGTGAGTGTCCGGAGAGGGAGTGTCCGGAGAGGGAGTGTCCGGAGAGGGAGTGTCCGGAGAGGGAGTGTCCGGAGAGGGAGTGTCCGGAGAGGGAGTGTCCGGAGAGGGAGTGTCCGGAGAGGGAGTGTCCGGAGAGGGAGTGTCCGGAGAGGGAGTGTCCGGAGAGGGAGTGTCCGGAGAGGGAGTGTCCGGAGAGGGAGAGGGAGTGTCCGGAGAGGGAGAGAGAGTGTCTGGAGAGGGAGAGAGAGTGTCTGGAGAGGGAGAGAGAGTGTCTGGAGAGGGAGAGAGAGTGTCTGGAGAGAGAGTGTCCGGAGAGGGAGAGGGAGAGTGTCCGGAGAGGGAGAGTGTCCGGAGAGGGAGAGTGTCCGGAGAGGGAGAGTGTCCGGAGAGGGAGAGTGTCCGGAGAGGGAGAGTGTCCGGAGAGGGAGAGGGAGAGGGAGTGTCCGGAGAGGGAGAGAGAGTGTCCGGAGAGGGAGAGTGAGTGTCCGGAGAGGGAGAGTGTCCGGAGAGGGAGAGGGAGAGTGTCCGGAGAGGGAGAGGGAGAGTGTCCGGAGAGGGAGAGGGAGTGTCCGGAGAGGGAGTGTCCGGAGAGGGAGAGAGAGTGTCCGGAGAGGGAGAGTGAGTGTCCGGAGAGGGAGTGTCCGGAGAGGGAGAGTGAGTGTCCGGAGAGGGAGTGTCCGGAGAGGGAGAAGGAGAGTGTCCGGAGAGGGAGAAGGAGAGTGTCCGGAGAGGGAGAGGGAGAGTGAGTGTCCGGAGAGGGAGAGAGTGTGTCCGGAGAGGGAGAGGGAGAGGGAGAGTGTCCGGAGAGGGAGAGGGAGAGTGTCCGGAGAGGGAGAGGGAGAGTGTCCGGAGAGGGAGAGTGTCCGGAGAGGGTCCGGAGAGGGTCCGGAGAGGGAGAGTGAGTGTCCGGAGAGTGAGTGTCCGGAGAGGGAGAGTGAGTGTCCGGAGAGGGAGTGTCCGGAGAGGGAGTGTCCGGAGAGGGAGTGTCCGGAGAGGGAGTGTCCGGAGAGGGAGTGTCCGGAGAGGGAGTGTCCGGAGAGGGAGTGTCCGGAGAGGGAGTGTCCGGAGAGGGAGTGTCCGGAGAGGGAGTGTCCGGAGAGGGAGTGTCCGGAGAGGGAGTGTCCGGAGAGGGAGTGTCCGGAGAGGGAGTGTCCGGAGAGGGAGTGTGTCCGGAGAGGGAGAGGGAGTGTCCGGAGAGAGAGTGTCTGGAGAGGGAGAGAGAGTGTCTGGAGAGGGAGAGAGAGTGTCTGGAGAGGGAGAGAGAGTGTCTGGAGAGGGAGAGAGAGTGTCTGGAGAGGGAGAGAGAGTGTCCGGAGAGGGAGAGAGAGTGTCTGGAGAGGGAGAGAGAGTGTCTGGAGAGGGAGAGAGAGTGTCTGGAGAGGGAGAGAGAGTGTCTGGAGAGGGAGAGAGAGTGTCCGGAGAGGGAGAGTGAGTGTCCGGAGAGGGAGAGTGAGAGGGAGAGTGTCCGGAGAGGGAGAGTGTCCGCAGAGGGAGAGTGTCCGGAGAGGGAGAGTGTCCGGAGAGGGAGAGTGAGAGGGAGAGTGTCCGGAGAGGGAGAGTGTCCGGAGAGGGAGAGTGTCCGGAGAGGGAGAGTGTCCGGAGAGGGAGAGTGTCCGGAGAGGGAGAGAGAGTGTCCGGAGAGGGAGAGAGAGTGTCCGGAGAGGTAGAGAGAGTGTCCGGAGAGGGAGAGAGAGTGTCCGGAGAGGGAGTGTCCGGAGAGGGAGAGTGAGTGTCCGGAGAGGGAGTGTCCGGAGAGGGAGAGTGAGTGTCCGGAGAGGGAGTGTCCGGAGAGGGAGAAGGAGAGTGTCCGGAGAGGGAGAGGGAGAGTGAGTGTCCGGAGAGGGAGAGAGTGTGTCCGGAGAGGGAGAGGGAGAGTGTCCGGAGAGGGAGGAGGGAGAGTGTCCGGAGAGGGAGAGGGAGAGTGTCCGGAGAGGGAGAGGGAGAGTGTCCGGAGAGGGAGAGGGAGAGTGTCCGGAGAGTGTCCGGAGAGGGTCCGGAGAGGGTCCGGAGAGGGTCCGGAGAGGGTCCGGAGAGGGTCCGGAGAGGGAGAGTGAGTGTCCGGAGAGTGAGTGTCCGGAGAGTGGAGAGTGAGTGTCCGGAGAGTGAGTGTCCGGAGAGTGAGTGTCCGGAGAGTGAGTGTCCGGAGAGGGAGTGTCCGGAGAGGGAGTGTCCGGAGAGGGAGTGTCCGGAGAGGGAGTGTCCGGAGAGGGAGTGTCCGGAGAGGGAGTGTCCGGAGAGGGAGTGTCCGGAGAGGGAGTGTCCGGAGAGGGAGTGTCCGGAGAGGGAGTGTCCGGAGAGGGAGTGTCCGGAGAGGGAGTGTCCGGAGAGGGAGTGTCCGGAGAGGGAGTGTCCGGAGAGGGAGTGTCCGGAGAGGGAGAGAGAGTGTCTGGAGAGGGAGAGAGAGTGTCTGGAGAGGGAGAGAGAGTGTCTGGAGAGGGAGAGAGAGTGTCTGGAGAGGGAGAGAGAGTGTCTGGAGAGAGAGTGTCTGGAGGGAGAGAGAGTGTCCGGAGAGGTAGAGAGAGTGTCCGGAGAGGGAGTGTCCGGAGAGGGAGAGTGAGTGTCCGGAGAGGGAGTGTCCGGAGAGGGAGAGGGAGTGTCCGGAGAGGGAGAGAGAGTGTCTGGAGAGGGAGAGAGAGTGTCTGGAGAGGGAGAGAGAGTGTCTGGAGAGGGAGAGAGAGTGTCTGGAGAGGGAGAGAGAGTGTCTGGAGAGAGAGTGTCTGGAGAGGGAGAGAGAGTGTCTGGAGAGGGAGAGAGAGTGTCTGGAGAGAGAGTGTCTGGAGAGGGAGAGAGAGTGTCCGGAGAGGGAGAGGGAGAGTGTCCGGAGAGGGAGAGGGAGAGGGAGAGTGTCCGGAGAGGTAGAGGGAGTGTCCGGAGAGAGAGAGGGAGTGTCCGGAGAGGGAGAGTGAGTGTCCGGAGAGGGAGTGTCCGGAGAGGGAGAGGGAGAGTGTCCGGAGAGGGAGAGGGAGAGGGAGAGTGTCCGGAGAGGGAGAGGGAGAGTGTCCGGAGAGGGAGAGGGAGAGGAAGAGTGTCCGGAGAGGGAGAGGGAGAGTGTCCGGAGAGGGAGAGAGAGTGTCCGGAGAGGGAGAGAGAGTGTCCGGAGAGGGAGAGGGAGAGTGTCCGGAGAGGGAGAGGGAGAGTGTCCGGAGAGGGAGAGGGAGAGTGTCCGGAGAGGGAGAGGGAGAGTGTCCGGAGAGGGAGAGGGAGAGTGTCCGGAGAGGGAGAGGGAGTGTGTCCGGAGAGGGAGAGTGAGTGTGTCCGGAGAGGGAGAGTGAGTGTGTCCGGAGAGGGAGAGGGAGAGTGTCCGGAGAGGGAGAGGGAGAGGGAGAGTGTCCGGAGAGGGAGAGTGAGTGTCCGGAGAGGGAGAGGGAGAGTGTCCGGAGAGGGAGAGTGAGTGTGTCCGGAGAGGGAGAGTGAGTGTCCGGAGAGGGAGAGTGAGTGTCCGGAGAGGGAGAGAGAGAGAGAGAGTCCAGAGAGATCAGATCATGTACTGGTTCTATCACTAGTAAGACTCTTTCTGTTGGGACATATAAAGTTGGGGACCCCAGCTTTAAAAACCAAAATGGACACTTCTTACTCACTTGTGGTAATAGTTTTAAAGCCCATGTTCCTCGGTGTCTGTTGCAGAGAACGACCTCCAACTCAGCGAATCCGGGAGCGAGAGCGACTGAAGCCTCCGGAGCCGCTTCATTCAAACTGCCACAAACTTTATTTATTTTCAGGTAGAACGTCGCACTTGAAAACATCTGGAACATTTCTACATTTCGGGCCAAAATGCGCTTGAAAAGAATAGAGCATAGATGCAATTATTACAGTCTTATTTCTACTATTTCATCTTTAGCCTTAGCCTTAGCATTAGCCTTAGCCTTAGCTTTAGCATTAGCTCTGTGCCTTAGCTCAACGTCAGGGTTTCAAACATATAGAGAAGACTTGCTGGGAAATTATAGAATATATTTTCCTATTTTTCAGTCAAAACAAATATGTATGATTTCTTCTTCGCATAAAGCAGTTTTAAGCAGCAACAAACCAGCAAAACAAAACAACTCTGTTCTCTCTCTGGTCTCCCTGTGGTCTCTCTCTCAGGACTCTCTCTCTCTGGTATTTCTCTCTCTACTCCAGGGGTGTCAAACAGGTCCTCCAAGGCTCTGGTTGCTCTTGTGTCTCTCTTTCTCTGGTCTCACTCTGGTCTCTCTCTCTCTGTCTCTGTCTCTTTCTGGTCTGTCTCTCTGGTCTCGCTCTCTGGTCTCTCTGTCCGGTCTCTCTCTGTCTGTTTTCTCTCTCTCCCTCTCTCTCCCTCTCTGGTCTGTCTCGCTGGTCTGTCTTGCTGGTCTGTCTCTCTGGTCTGTCTCTGGTCCCTCTCTAGTCCATGGGTGTCAAACCAGCCCTTTCTGACCCCCTGCAGTAGATGCTTGATCTTCACCTTTCGACCAACTCTTCCTAACACTACATTGGATTAATCCTGCTCCTCTCTGGGCTCTCGTCATGATCAGAAGAATCCACTTTATTTATTTATTTATTCAAGATTTCCCCTTCAAAATCTCTTTAGCTCGAGGCGGGGTCTTAAAGTAAACGCCGTTAAAAAAGGGATTTGGATTCTCTTGCTGATTTCTAGTTTGTATCTGTCCAAATTACAAATACAATACAATATATGTTTACAATTATATCTTTTTTATTCTTTTTGCTTCATACTATGGCAGTGAGCCTCCATAGCTGTTAGAAGTATTTCCAATGTTTCTGTCCTCTCGGATCCTCAAAACTTTCAAATCAAAAAGGAACTGTTGCCTTAAAATCCCCAGAACTGATATATACTGGCATATTCTAGAAGCTGGTTCTATTCTGTCTGTACCAACAAAAATAAAGCCATTTCCTTCAATAACTTTGAAGCTCGGGTACGTAACTTTTAAAGCCCAATGAACTACAATGATGTGCAGTTTCTGGTCCCTAACTTGAAGTATGCACTAAAGTCTCTCGCTTTCAAAACAGCTCGGTTCTTCATAGTTTCCATGAGTATTGCCTCTGTCACATGTTTCTGATCAAATAGTGACTCACAGGGCTCTTTCGAACAAGTATGCAAAAGATTACATGTTTTCATAGTATGTATATTGGCAGAAAAAAGGGGCATCCCCAAGATATCATAATTTTTCAGAGGCATAATGTCTTCAGTTTAGTCACTGAATCCGAATGAAATCAAAGACCCACACTTTACCTGCACCGAGGGTCAGACCAAATTAGCATTGTTTGGATAAAGGAGAAAGGTCTTCCCAGTCCTCAACAGTCCCCTAAGCCACCGCTGTCCTCCTTTAATGTGTTTGGGATCGTCCATCAACCGTAACGACTCCTGAAAACAGCCTGAAAACTCTCGAGTGACAACGCTGCTGTTTTCATCATAACCGTGGACACATTTGGACTAGAACCAAATGGTCCAGAACGCTGTGGCTCCGTCTGGAATCTCCAGCGAATGATCTGAACTCATCTGTTCCAAAACCACCACAGCCTCTGCAAACTGCTTTGGACAGTCCAGCTCAAACCTGCAAAACCCCTTGTTACTGGGACCATCCTTTTTGAGGCTCGGTGCTGTTATAGCCTGCCTCTGCTCGTTCTGGTCCAAGTCTGGATTATGCCAATTTCAGCCTCTATAGGGACTGTGTTTACTTGTCCAATTGTTCTGATCTGCTTTTATAATTTCTAGTTGTTTCTACTTTCCCTTTATTACCCTGTCCCTTTGGTTGCATCCGTCTCTCATTCTTCTATGACCTCCTTTGGGTCTAGAAAAACAACAAGACCTTGGAATTGTTACATCTCTAGCCCTCTCTGATTCTGTCCAATCCCCGGGAGCTGTGTCTACCCTCTGGCAGGAACAGCTCCTACAGCCAAAGCCTTCTTTCTTCTCCACCTTTTCTACGCACTTATGTTTGAAAAGCTCCAGTTCAGCTCTGAAGCTCTTCATCACGTCTCTCAACTGCACAGTGTCTCTGGCCTCCATCACGGTTACGACAGGTTTTAACGGCAAACTGTCTCTGTGTCGTCTTGAACCCTCTGACCTCTCTCTTTCCCAGTCTCTGTGACACTCTCTAGCTTCTCTAATTCTCTAATTCTCTGGTTTCTAACTCCTGTTTCTTTTGTTTTTCTACGTTGTCTTTGTAAGCCTTAAGTTCCACGTACATTTCTACGCCCCTTTCTCAGGTAAAAACATTTTCTGTGATTGTTAGCCACTTTTCTAACTTGTCTTTCTCGACCAGCTCACTCTTATACTTCTGAGTCTCACTTTCTAACTCCATCCGCTTTTCAGATTTGGAAACTTTGAGAAGACTTTGGAAATCTCTGCTCTAAACTCTACCTGCTCTTTCTCTTGTTCAGTTCTCAGCTTCTCTCCCCTTCCCTATTGGAGAATCATCCATTGACAACTTCTTAAACTGACTCAGAAGCTCATCCAGCTTTACTACTACTTCTTCTGCTGCCTCCTGTTGAGAATCACGTGTAGACAAACCCTGGAACTGACTCAGAACGTCGTCCGACTCCATGGACTCCATATCAACAGAATTCTGCTGAGTTCTTACTGAAACTTCCTCCAGCGAGTCCTTGTATTCTCCGGGAACACACTCACCTCCTGTTGAGTAAAGATAAACGACTGAATCACACACAGACAAACCCTGGAACTGTCTCAGGAGCTCGTCTCTCTGCTTTCTTCGTCTTGAAGGTTTGCAGGCGGTAGATCTCCAGCGAGCTCTTACAACCTCCATGAACGCCCTCGGCCCCAGGCTCCTCCTCGGCCCCAGGCTCCTCCTCGGCCCCAGGATCCTCATTTCTACTTTCTCTTCCTTTGTCTCTTCTTTAGGAGAGACCATATTGTCTGAGTTTCCCCACTGGCCTCAGTCTCCCGATGTAGTTCTACCTTCTCTATGGCTTGGGCTGGCTCAGGATGAGACGGCTCTACCTTCTCTATTGCTTGGACTGGCTCAGGATGAGACGGCTCTACCTTCTCTATGGCTTGGACTGGCTCAGGATGAGTCGGCTCTACCTTCTCTATGGCTTGGACTGGCTCAGGATGAGACGGCTCTACCTTCTCTACATTTTGGATTGTCTCATTATTAGGCACTTCTATGGGTTCTATACTTTGGACCAGCGCAGTATTCGACACTACCTTCTCTATAGTTTGTTCCCCTTGTTGAGATGAAGGCCTTTCTTTGACAGCACCTTGGATTTGCTTTTAGAATGACCCTCTTACTCGGCTCAGGATTTACCTCTGGTGGAGTCCCACTGGTCTCAGCCTCTAATGGCTGCTTTACGACCTCCTCAGTCTTCTCCTGCTTAAAGACCCAAACAGGTTCCCAGTGAGAGGCCGTGCTTCAGGACGTGATGAAAGGCTCTGGAGGGTAAAGAGGGAAAGAGAAGGCATTTTCACACTTATTCTTAGTAAAAAGAAAATAATTTTCTTAACTTGATGGGAGGCAAAGAGTCGCATTCTGATTGGACGAGACCCACTGCTCGAGAGCCTCGTGTTCGCCTCCCGTTTATTTTGACTCTCGCGACGCATTGTATTGTCGTTGTAGAACATGAACACATGTTTAACCGACACTTTGGTGTCATTGAGGCACGTGGGCAATCAGTGCTTTTGTTCTAGAAGCACCGAGGGCATTTAGGCTGAAATTAGGGCCACCCTCGTTCAGTTTCTGTCTCTTTAAACAATCTTTATGTTGGGACAAACAACATGCATAACTTATGAAGAAAAAAACCTTCATTTAAAAATGGTAATATCTGATAATATCTGGTCTCAATGAAATACCAGGATTTTTCCTAGAACTTTGATCTTCAATTTTACTTGCTCAGTTATCTCAACATCACACAACGCAGTCCCATAACTGAGCCAGAAATTATTATTTGACCAAAAATAATGAATATGAGCAGAATAAACACATAATGATAAAGAAATGCTTTTATTTTGTGGAATAATGTCTAAAATGTGTCAAAGGTCTGAGTCTCCGCAGTGTTGTCTGTATGAATCTGCTTTGCCTCCTGTGAGTTTTCAACCCATTATTCAGCTTTTCTTCACAAACTGCTGCTTGAAAGTTTATGTTTAGTGAAAAGAAATGGTGTAAAACTCATCTTTATGACCAGAATTTTTACATCTATTATCAAAGATTGCAGCACCGGATTTTTACTGGTCTCTCTCTCTGGTCTCTCTCTCTGGCCTCTCTCTCTGCCCCCTCTCTGGTCTCTCTCTCTGGTCTCTCTCTGGTCTCTCTCTCTCTCTGGCCTCTCTCTCTGGTCTCTCTCTCTCTGGTCTCTCTCTCTGCCCCCTCTCTGGTCTCTCTCTCTGGTCTCTCTCTCTCTCTGGCCTCTCTCTCTGGTCTCTCTCTCTCTGGTCTCTCTCTCTCTGGTCTCTCTCTCTCTGGTCTCTCTCTCTGGTCTCTCTCTCTGGTCTCTCTCTCTGGCCTCTCTCTCTGGTCTCTCTCTCTCTGGCCTCTCTCTCTGGTCTCTCTCTCTCTGGCCTCTCTGGTTTCTGGAACTTGAAAAAAGTAGTTATTTAGATATAATCCGGCAATTGCTGTTTACATTATTCACTTAAGAACCTTTTTCCAAACTCTTCTTCATGAAAACTAACATGACTCTAACAAGTCTTCTTCTTCTCTTTCAACAACATCTCGTCCTCTTCACAATTTCAACCCCGCTGCTTCTGAACTTTGTCGTGGACTTGTTGTGCGTCTGTAGCTTTAAAACCTGCAAAACTTGAATTAATTTATTTCCTCTGACTGTGTTTCTGTGCTTTTCTCTTTAATATATTTAACGTATGCATTTGGAATCAGCCAAACGAGCGCAGGTCTCACTGTGAGTCTTAAGAATGTGCAGAGTAAAAAGCCTTAAATACTCTATCATCATGTGTGTGTGTAGTGTGTGGTTTTGTGTTGACGCTGGAGCAGACACTGTGAATGTGGGAAGAACAAATGTATTGATTCTTTGTTTGAAATAAAGATTTTAATTCTATGGAGTTTTGGAGCTGATCTTTTGTTGGATTCATGGTCTGTCTGTGTCTGCGTCTGTGCGTCTCGAAGTCCATATAAAAACATTGGTCATATTCTTTATTAGTTTAATTTATTTTGATCCCCATTAAGCCTAAGGTAACATGGACAGAGTAACTGGAGACAACTAGTTGCAAGGCGGCTTTTGGCAACAGAGCAGATGATGGAGATGATCAGTTGCCAAAATCGGTGATCGCGCTTACAACTGGAGATAAACAGTCGATCTCCGGATTCAGTCAGTTACCCGTGTCCTACTTTTCGGCAACCAGCTGTCGTCAGATCCAGAAATACTGTATCACCCGATGGCGCGCTCCAACAACATGTGTTGAGAGTGTTATTATGTGACGTATTGCTCTCCCTCTACGGTCTATGTCAGAAAACACACTGTAGTTGAGGCCAGTTGCTATCGATGTACGCGCTGTTATTCCCGAGACTGGCCTGAAACTAGGAGTTGCCCATTTTCGCCAGATTGTCGATGTGTGCGGGGCAGCAACTCATAGCCATAGGCGACGGATATCATCAGTTGCCAGTCCGATGAACGCTAGGCATTATACACTGAGGTGCAGAGGCTATTCTTCCTGATCTCTCCTTAGAAATCATTACATATTTTTCAGAGTGCAGAGTGCACAACACACAAAATGGCTCCCTGGTTCCATCAGTGACAGGGACGGACTCCCCACCCAGGATTTCCTCAAAAATCAAAAGATCTTAGATTGATGAATCCCTCGTTAGTCTAACCAGGGAGACCAACAAAAGGAGAGCCTAAACTGGCACAACTAACAAGGTTCAACTAATAGCCGAGCCCCAATATGTTACACCCGAGAGGCGAGCCCCGATATGTTACACCCGAGAGACGAGCCCCGATATGTTACGCCCGAGAGACGAGCCCCGATATGTTACGCCCGAGAGACGAGCCCCAATATGTTACGCCCGAAAGACGAGCCCCAATATGTTACGCCCGAGAGACAAGCCCCGATATGTTACGCCCGAAAGACGAGCCCCAATATGTTACGCCCGAGAGACAAGCCCCAATATGTTACGCCCGAGAGACAAGCCCCAATATGTTACGCCCGAGAGACAAGCCCCAATATGTTACGCCCGAGAGATGAGCCCCAATATGTTACGCCGAAAGACAAGCCCCAATATGTTACACCCAAGAAATGAGCCTCAATACGCTACACCCGAGAGACGAGCCCCAATATGTTACTCCCGAGAGACGAGCCCCGATCTTACGCCCGAGAGACGAGCCCCGATCTTACGCCCGAGAGGCGAGCCCCGATCTTACGCCCGAGAGACGAGCCCCGATATGATACGCCCGAGAGACGAGCCCCAATATGTTACACCCGAGAGACGAGCCCCAATATGTTACACCCGAGAGACGAGCCCCGATATGTTACGCCCGAGAGACGAGCCCCGATCTTACGCCCGAGAGACGAGCCCCGATATGATACGCCCGAGAGACGAGCCCCGATATGTTACGTCCGAGAGACGAGCCCCGATATGATACGTCCGAGAGACGAGCCCCAATATGTTACACCCGAGAGACGAGCCCCGATATGTTACGCCCAAGAGACGAGCCCCGATCTTACGCCCGAGAGACGAGCCCCGATCTTACGCCCGAGAGACGAGCCCCAATATGATACGCCCGAGAGACGAGCCCCAATATGTTACGCCCGAGAGACAAGCCCCAATATGTTACGCCCGGGAGACGAGCCCCAATATGTTACACCCAAGAAATGAGCCTCAATACGCTACACCCGAGAGACGAGCCCCAATATGTTACTCCCGAGAGACGAGCCCCGATATGTTACGCCCGAGAGACGAGCCCCGATCTTACGCCCGAGAGACGAGCCCCGATATGATACGCCCGAGAGACGAGCCAAATATGTTACGCCCAAGAGACGAGCCCCGATATGTTACACCCGAGAGACGAGCCCCAATATGTTACTCCCGAGAGGCGAGCCCCAATATGTTACTCCCGAGAGACGAGCCCCAATATGTTACTCCCGAGAGACGAGCCCCAATATGTTACTCCCGAGAGACGAGCCCCAATATGACGCCCGAGAGACGAGCCCCGATCTTACGCCCGAGAGACGAGCCCTGATATGATACGCCCGAGAGACGAGCCCCAATATGTTACACCCGAGAGACGAGCCCCGATATGATACGCCCGAGAGACGAGCCCCAATATGTTACACCCGAGAGACGAGCCCCGATATGTTACGCCCGAGAGACGAGCCCCGATCTTACGCCCGAGAGACGAGCCCCGATATGTTACGCCCGAGAGACGAGCCCCGATCTTACGCCCGAGAGACGAGCCCCGATATGATACGCCCGAGAGACGAGCCCCAATATGTTACACCCGAGAGACGAGCCCCGATATGTTACGCCCGAGAGACGAGCCCCGATATGTTACGCCCGAGAGACAAGCCAAATATGTTACGCCCAAGAGACGAGCCCCGATATGTTACACCCAAGAAACGAGCCTCAATACGCTACACCCGAGAGACGAGCCCCAATATGTTACTCCCAAGAGACGAGCCAAATATGTTACGCCAGAGAGACGAGCCCCGATATGTTACACCAGAGAGACGAGCCCCAATATGTTACGCCCAAGAGACGAGCCAAATATGTTACGTCAGAGAGACGAGAGCCCCAATATGTTACGCCAGAGAGACGAGCCCTGATATGTTACACCAGAGAGACGAGCCCCAATATGTTACGTCCAAGAGACGAGCCAAATATGTTACGTCAGAGAGACCCAATATGTTACGCCAGAGAGACGAGCCCTGATATGTTACTCCCGAGAGACGAGCCCTGATATGTTACACCAGAGAAACGAGCCCCAATATGTTACGCCCGAAAGACGAGCCCCAATATGTTACGCCCGAGAGACAAGCCCCAATATGTTACGCCCGAAAGACAAGCCCCAATATGTTACGCCCGAGAGACAAGCCCCAATATGTTACACCAGAGAGACGAGCCCCAATATGTTACGCCTGAAAGACGAGCCCCAATATGTTACGCCCGAGAGACAAGCCCCAATATGTTACGCCCGAAAGACAAGCCCCAATATGTTACGCCTGAGACGAGCCCCAATATGTTACGCCCGAGAGACGAGCCCCAATATGTTACACGCGAGAGACGAGGCCCGATATGTTACGCCCGAGAGACGAGCCCCGATCTTACGCCCGAGAGACGAGCCCCGATATGATACGCCCGAGAGACGAGCCAAATATGTTACGCCCAAGAGACGAGCCCCGATATGTTACACCCGAGAGACGAGCCCCAATATGTTACTCCCGAGAGGCGAGCCCCAATATGTTACTCCCGAGAGACGAGCCCCAATATGTTACTCCCGAGAGACGAGCCCCAATATGTTACTCCCGAGAGACGAGCCCCAATATGACGCCCGAGAGACGAGCCCCGATCTTACGCCCGAGAGACGAGCCCCGATATGATACGCCCGAGAGACGAGCCCCAATATGTTACACCCGAGAGACGAGCCCCGATATGATACGCCCGAGAGACGAGCCCCAATATGTTACACCCGAGAGACGAGCCCCGATATGTTACGCCCGAGAGACGAGCCCCGATCTTACGCCCGAGAGACGAGCCCCAATATGTTACGCCCGAGAGACGAGCCCCGATATGTTACGCCCGAGAGACGAGCCCCAATATGTTACGCCCGAGAGACGAGCCCCGATATGTTACGCCCGAGAGACGAGCCCCGATATGTTACGCCCGAGAGACGAGCCCCGATATGTTACGCCCGAGAGACAAGCCAAATATGTTACGCCCAAGAGACGAGCCCCGATATGTTACACCCAAGAAACGAGCCTCAATACGCTACACCCGAGAGACGAGCCCCAATATGTTACTCCCAAGAGACGAGCCAAATATGTTACGCCAGAGAGACGAGCCCCGATATGTTACACCAGAGAGACGAGCCCCAATATGTTACGCCCAAGAGACGAGCCAAATATGTTACGTCAGAGAGACGAGAGCCCCAATATGTTACGCCAGAGAGACGAGCCCTGATATGTTACACCAGAGAGACGAGCCCCAATATGTTACGTCCAAGAGACGAGCCAAATATGTTACGTCAGAGAGACCCAATATGTTACGCCAGAGAGACGAGCCCTGATATGTTACTCCCGAGAGACGAGCCCTGATATGTTACACCAGAGAAACGAGCCCCAATATGTTACGCCCGAAAGACGAGCCCCAATATGTTACGCCCGAGAGACAAGCCCCAATATGTTACGCCCGAGAGACAAGCCCCAATATGTTACGCCCGAAAGACAAGCCCCAATATGTTACGCCCGAAAGACAAGCCCCAATATGTTACGCCTGAGACGAGCCCCAATATGTTACGCCCGAGAGACGAGCCCCGATATGTTACGCCCGAGAGACGAGCCCCGATATGATACGCCCGAGAGACGAGCCCCGATATGATACGCCCGAGAGACGAGCCCCAATATGTTACGCCCGAGAGACGAGCCCCGATATGTTACGCCCGAGAGACGAGCCCCGATATGATACGCCCGAGAGACGAGCCCCAATATGTTACACGCGAGAGACGAGGCCCGATATGTTACGCCCGAGAGACGAGCCCCGATATGTTATGCCCGAGAGACGAGCCAAATATGTTACGCCCAAGAGACGAGCCCCGATATGTTACACCCAAGAAACGAGCCTCAATACGCTACACCCGAGAGACGAGCCCCAATATGTTACTCCCGAGAGACGAGCCCCGATATGTTACGCCCGAAAGACGAGCCCCAATATGTTACGCCCAAGAGACGAGCCAAATGTTACGTCAGAGAGACGAGAGCCCCAATATGTTACGCCAGAGAGACGAGCCCTGATATGTTACACCAGAGAGACGAGCCCCGATATGTTACTCCCGAGAGACGAGCCCCAATATGTTACTCCCGAGAGACGAGCCCCAATATGTTACGCCCGAGAGACGAGCCCCGATATGATACGCCCGAGAGACGAGCCCCGATCTTACGCCCGAGAGACGAGCCCCGATATGATACGCCCGAGAGACGAGCCCCAATATGTTACACCCGAGAGACGAGCCCCGATATGTTACGCCCGAGAGACGAGCCCCGATATGTTACGCCCGAGAGACGAGCCAAATATGTTACGCCCAAGAGACGAGCCCCGATATGTTACACCCAAGAAACGAGCCTCAATACGCTACACCCGAGAGACGAGCCCCAATATGTTACTTCCAAGAGACGAGCCAAATATGTTACGCCAGAGAGACGAGCCCCGATATGTTACACCAGAGAGACGAGCCCTGATATGTTACACCAGAGAGACGAGCCCCAATATGTTACGTCCAAGAGACGAGCCAAATATGTTACGTCAGAGAGACCCAATATGTTACGCCAGAGAGACGAGCCCTGATATGTTACTCCCGAGAGACGAGCCCTGATATGTTACACCAGAGAGACGAGCCCCAATATGTTACGCCCGAAAGACGAGCCCCAATATGTTACGCCCGAGAGACAAGCCCCAATATGTTACGCCCGAAAGACAAGCCCCAATATGTTACGCCCGAGAGACAAGCCCCAATATGTTACACCAGAGAGACGAGCCCCAATATGTTACGCCCGAAAGACGAGCCCCAATATGTTACGCCCGAGAGACAAGCCCCAATATGTTACGCCCGAAAGACAAGCCCCAATATGTTACGCCTGAGACGAGCCCCAATATGTTACGCCCGAGAGACGAGCCCCGATATGTTACGCCCGAGAGACGAGCCCCGATATGATACGCCCGAGAGACGAGCCCCGATATGTTACGCCCGAGAGACGAGCCCCGATATGTTATGCCCGAGAGACGAGCCAAATATGTTACGCCCAAGAGACGAGCCCCGATATGTTACACCCAAGAAATGAGCCTCAATACGCTACACCCGAGAGACGAGCCCCAATATGTTACTCCCGAGAGACGAGCCCCGATATGTTACGCCCAAAAGACGAGCCCCAATATGTTACGCCCAAGAGACGAGCCAAATGTTACGTCAGAGAGACGAGAGCCCCAATATGTTACGCCAGAGAGACGAGCCCTGATATGTTACACCAGAGAGACGAGCCCCGATATGTTACGCCCGGGAGACGAGCCCCAATATGTTACACCCAAGAAATGAGCCTCAATACGCTACACCCGAGAGACGAGCCCCAATATGTTACACCAGAGAGACGAGCCCCGATATGTTACACCAGAGAGACGAGCCCCAATATGTTACGCCCGAAAGACGAGCCCTAATATGTTACGCCCGAGAGACAAGCCCCAATATGTTACGTCCGAAAGACAAGCCCCAATATGTTACGCCCGAGAGACAAGCCCCAATATGTTACGCCCGAGAGACGAGCCCCTATATGTTACACCCGAGAGACGAGCCCCAATATGTTACGCCCGGGAGACGAGCCCCAATATGTTACACCCAAGAAATGAGCCTCAATACGCTACACCCGAGAGACGAGCCCCAATATGTTACTCCCGAGAGACGAGCCCCGATATGTTACGCCCGAGAGACGAGCCCCGATATGTTACACCCGAGAGACGAGCCCCGATATGTTACGCCCGAGAGACGAGCCCCGATATGATACGCCCGAGAGACGAGCCCCGATATGTTACACCCGAGAGACGAGCCCCGATATGTTACGCCCGAGAGACGAGCCCCGATATGTTACACCCGAGAGACGAGCCCCGATATGTTACGCCCGAGAGACGAGCCCCGATATGATACGCCCGAGAGACGAGCCCCGATATGTTACACCCGAGAGACGAGCCCCGATATGTTACGCCCGAGAGACGAGCCAAATATGTTACGCCCAAGAGACGAGCCCCGATATGTTACACCTGAGATGGTGGCAGTGTTCAGTTCCTGTAGCGATAATGGGAAATGAAAAAGTGGACAAAAGTTCAGTCGGTTTCTATACGCTGTCAATCACATCCTGGAGGCGGGCTCTCAAACATCCAAACATTACTGTAATCATGTATAAAGCAGAGAAAAGTCGAAAAGTGTCATATGAGACCTTTTTAGCTGGTTGCAAACAGAAGAAGAAGACTGCCCCACCCCCGATGTGCCCCACCCCTGATGTTCCCCACCTGTAGTTTGTGTGCCCCCTGCCTCACGGGCCAGATTGTCCTGTTTGTGCCTCCAGACTGTTTTTTGTGATTTTTGGATTATTAAAACTTTAAACTGCCTTTTGATTTTGGGTCTGTATTTGAGTCCCTTTAAGTCTGACAAAGTGAGGGATACATACGGAGGATTAAAGTTCAAATACAGAAATGATTACGCCTTAATGGACATAATGGAATAAAAGACAAGAAAAAAGTGCTCTGTTCTTTTCTCTGAGCTTTTCCGATCACAGCCACGGAGATGTCGGCTCTAGTTCGTTTTGTAGTTTCCAAATAAAAGATCCTCGTTCTTTGCCTTTGAGGTTCTGAACAGTCACAGAGTCATATTTTGGCACCAGTAAAGCCCTTAATAATATCCACGATTATGATAAAGTTTTATTGAAGAAGAGTGTGGAACAGAACCTGAAATAAATGAAGTCACAACAAATCAATTTAATAATTGTTCTTTATCGATTGTTGTGACCGATGTTTACAGAGTGTCTGATCTAAACCCACACTTTAGGAGAGTAGTCCCACAAACCCTGGTCTAGTGTAGTGTGTAGTGTTGTCCAGCAGGGGGCAGCAGAGGACCTCTTTGAAAACTGTCACACCAAGGATTCTCAAACACATGATACTTTGATCACAATTCAGAAGTAAAAAAGTGAATTGGAAAAAAAATACTTCTTTGTCACAGTTTATCACAAAGTAGTAATATTTAGAGAATTTAAACATGTGAAACCACCACAGACTGTTTATACCACACACACGTTTAAACACGCTTGGAAAAGCTGCTTCTGCCTTTTCCTTTTGTGATTGCAATTAATTATATTATATAATATATATTAATTATATTATATAATAATTATATATAATTATATTATATATTATATATATAATTAATTATATTAGGGGGCGACAGTAGCTCAGTTGGTAGAGCATAGGCCTTCAGGCCTGAAGGTTGTGGGTTCAATTCCCGCCTCTACACCTTCTCCACCGACTCCCACTGATGACTGCTGTCGTTGTGTCCTTGGGCAAGACACTTAACCCCACTTTGCCCAAAGCCCCCACTGAAAGATCAAGGCTATGCTCACACTCAGAGAGCAGCCGTCCTCCTGTGGACTCACCACCTGCAGAGGATCAGTGAGGGGCTGGTGCTATGAGACTTGGGTGGCATCTCTGATTGCCACCCCCCTGACCCAGAAATGGATTAAAGGGTAGAAAATGGATGGATGGATGGATTAATTATATTATGTATGATGTCATGTGTTTGAACTGTAACTTTATTGATGTGACGACCAAAACTAAACAAAAAACAATAAAAAAGAATTACTGTATTTAATGAGTAGCTTCGAAAAAAATATGTTGTTATGAATTACAATAAGTTTATCTTGATGTGTGTGTGGGTTTTGTGTGTATTTCGTGTGTGTGTGTGTTTCGTGGGCGGCTGAGTGGTTAGCACTCCTGCTTCTCAGCAAAAAGGTTCTGGGTTCAAATCCCAGTACAGGCCCCGGAACAGGGCCATGTTCTCCCTGTGTCTGTGCAGGTTTCCTCTGGGTGCTCCGGTTTCCCCTACCACTGGAAACATCCACATTAGGTCTAGTGGGTGTTTGGTCGGAGGCTTTGATGGTCCAGTGTGTTCTGGTCTCGCTTCTGTCATCACCGTGTGGAGAGAATAAAACAATATCTGAACGATGTGCTTTGGGTCTGACCTCGGTCTGTATAATGTGCTACATAAATAAATACTTTGTTTTCTTGTGTTTGGATGTTTTTAAATGTTTTTAAATGTTTTTACTTATTGTCTGTATCTGATTTAGTTTGTTTTGTTCAACTTTGAGGATCCCTTTAAAAACCAGATAATACCTCAAGGGGATTATCCACCATTTATATAAATACATATATAAATACATATATAATACATTTATAAATACATATAATACATTTATAAATGCATTTATAAATACATATATAATACATTTATAAATACATATATAATACATTTATAAATACATGTGTCATATATAATACATGAGATAATGTTGGTGATATGTTAAAAGTCTTGCAGCTGAAATAGAGAAGACAAAGCTCTGTGAGAACACGAGACTCTGGGACATTGTCCATGTGAACTTTGGAGAATGAGTCCAAACAGTTTGATTCTCTAATCTGCTTTAAATATTTGTGCCGAGGTTTCAGCCCACACAATACGTTTGACGCAAATATGTAAATGGTTTGAACAACACAACACAACACGTAGCATTCTCTAAAGACACACAAACTCATTCACTCAGCCCAGACACAGGCCCAAACACTCTCTGACCCTACAGCTCTCCCACATCGCCCTGTTTTCCGGTCTCCTGCAGACCAGTCCCAGAGCCGCTGGGACGTCTCTCCACCCTTCTCCATTTTCCAAAATTTCCAATAATAAATTTTAATATCCTACCTTCCCAAACCCCCACCTCATATTCACCTAACCTTTCTAAACCCCTAACCCCCCCTTCCTTTCCCCTTCCCTTCTCTTCCCTTCCATTACCTCTTCCCCTCCTTCTCTTCCCTTCCCCTTCCCTCTTCCCTTCCCTTCCCTCTTCCCTTCCTCTTCCCTTCCCCTTCCCTCTTCCCCTTTCCTTCCCCTTTCCTCTTCCTTCCCCTTTCCCCTCTCCCTTCCCCTCTACCCCTATCCCCTTTCCCTTTCCTCTCCACATCCCAAACCACCATCAACCCCTCTACTAACACAACCTACCCCACTTCCTTCCCAACTCTTCTAATCCCATATAATAGTCCAACCCACACCAACCACACAACAGATATATAGACACTACAAACCCAACCCTACATCCCCCCCCCCCCCCCCCCCCAGACAACCCAAAACCCCACCCAACCCAACCCCAACCCAAAACCCAACACAAACCCCACCCAACCACAAAACACAACCCCCCAACCCCTACCACAAACCAAACCAACCCCTTATTCCCATCATCCATACCAACCACTACCCAATCACATAACCCAACCCCCTTCCCTTCCCCTCTTCCTTCCCCTATTCTCCCCTTCCTCTTCCCATTCCCCTCTCCCTTCCCCCTCTCCCCTCACCCCCTTCCCCCCTTTCCCCCTTCCCCCCCCCCCCCCTATTCCCCCCCATCCCCCTCCATTCCATCTTACCCCCCCCCTCTACATTATATTACATACCTACCATCTCCATTACCTTTGCCAGACCCTACCAGCCCCCGCTCCCATATTCCTTTCGCAGACTGACGGACCAGGTGACACGGCGGGGACAGCCGACAGTACAGAGGACCAGTGCACAGGCCACCCAGTACCTCCCCGACCGCCCGCACCCCCCCCAGGCCCACGCGCGACACCCGAGACAGCGCCCCAACAGACAGGACCCGTGGCCCCCCGAGCCGATGGACAGAGGACGGAGAGGCCACGGGACAGGACAGAGGACCGGCCCGGCCCCCCGGCCCGAGGCCCCCGGGCCCGGCCCGGCCCGAAGGCCGGGCCCGGCCCGAGGAACAGGCCCTGACCGGCCCCCCCCGGCCGGTCAGGCCCCGAGGCCCGGAGAGACACGCCCGGCCCCGGCCGGAGGAGGAAAGGCCAGACAGAGGTCGGACAGGACAGACAGGGACCGGCCCGGCCACGATGCCAGGAGCGGACAGGACAGGACAGTACAGAGGACAGGACTGGAGGACCAGGAGAGGACAGGGACAGAGACAGGGACATTACAGAGAGAGGACAGGACAGGACAGTGACAGGGAAAGGGACAGAGGACATGACAGGACGGGACAGAGATCATGACAGGAGGAACGGTACAGGGGCCTGGACAGAGGACAGGGACAGCAGGTACGGGACAGAGACAGGACAGGACGGGACAGAGACAGGAACAAAGAAGGACAGGACAGGACAGAGGACAGGACAGGAACGGGACGAGAACAGTACAGAGGGACGGGACGAGACAGGACAGAGGACGTGACGGACAGAGGACAGGACAGTACAGACATGACAGGACAGGACAGGACAGAGGACAGGAGAGGACAAGACAGGACAGAGGACAGGAGAGGACAGGACAGGACAGGACAGAGGACAGGACAGACAGGACAGAGGACAGGACAGGACAGAGGACATGACAGAGTACTGCCAGATACAGGACAGAGGACGGGACAGGAACAGGACAAGAGGACGGGACAGGACAGAGGACAGACAGGACGGACAAGAGCAGAGTACAGTACTGGCACAGAGGACAGGAGAGTGACAGACAACAGAGGACAGGAGAGGACAGACAGGACAGACATGGGACAGACAGGACAGGACAGAGACAGGACAGGACAAGGACAGGAAGGACAGGACAGAGACAGGACAGGACAGTGACAGGAAAGGACAGAGGACAGGAGAGGACAGGACAGAGGACAGGACAGGACGGGACAGAGGACAGGACTTTGTATGTTGTTGTAGTTTCCTATTGTTCTCATCGTTGTTGTGTTGTCGGTGTAACGGGGGCTGCAGATGTGTGTAGCTATGATCTGGTGTGTACATGTCTCGGAGCTGAGTGTTGCTGTGTCCCGTCTCTTTCAAATCCGACTAAACTAAACTAAAATAACTCCTAAAACTCTGACTACAAAAAGTGGCAGAACACGTGGAACTGAACTCAATACAAGTCAAATCAGCACATGAAACGTCACATGTGCTGAGGACAGTCCCCTGGGGCCCCCCCAGGCTGCAGGAGGACAGTCCCCTGGGCCCCCCCATGCTGCAGGAGGACAGTCCCCTGGGGGTCCCCACGCTGCAGGAGGACAGTCCCCTGGGGCCCCCCATGCTGCAGGAGGACAGTCCCCTGGGCCCCCCCATGCTGCAGGAGGACAGTCCCCTGGGGCCCCCCATGCTGCAGGAGGACAGTCCCCTGGGCCCCCCCATGCTGCAGGAGGACGGTCCCCTGGGGGGCCCCTACACTGCAGGAGGACAGTCCCCTGGGGGGTCCCTACGCTGCAGGAGGACAGTCCCCTGGGGGGTCCCCACGCTGCAGGAGGACAGTCCTGGATAGAAAAATGAGTGATGGCAATTCAATTTAATTGAATTCAATTTAATTTGTAAAGCTCGAATTCAAAGCAGCATCATTTCAGAGGACATTACACAATTCACCAAGGAGAGACACAAAGAAAGCTGTATTGAACAATGAGATATTGGCTCAGACCCTAACAGAAGCCCCCGCTATGATTTATAGTAAAGCATGCTTTCATGTGCAGTTGGGACTTTATTTCACCAGGAAGTCCCAAGAGTCTTTTTCAAGGGAGACTTGGCCAAGAGCATCTTTCGTGACAATAATGTCAATACATATACATTATACACATGTATAATGTATATCTACATTAGGGTGCTTCATAGGAAACCATGTCTTCCATTTTCTAATAATTGCTCCCACGGTTGAATTCTTCACATCTAACTGTTTAGTTAGTGCAGAGTTGGTCTTCCCAGCCTGGTGCAGGTCTACAGCTGTGTTTCTGGTGTCTGTGGTCATAGACTGTTTGTTGTGGACAGGTGTCTTTTGCACAGATGAGTTCAAACTCGGGATGCACCGATTGTGACATTTTAGGCTGATACCGATGTTTAACATAAAAACTTGGCAGATGTTTTCTTTTTGTTGTTTATTATTTGCCGGGGGATTGCGCCTTCTTGGCGGCTTCAGTTTTTCGTTTTTCTTCAGCTTCATGCAAATAACTGTTTGGTTCAGTTCAGTTTTAATCCTGGGAACGTTAAACAGGAGCCGCTGAGATGATGGAGATGTTTCCAAAGCTGAGGGCCCTGAGAGCAGAGAGTCCAGGTCACTGTGAGTCCAGAAGCACAATGTCAGACTGTGTCCAGACTGTGGTCTCTCCTCTCAGGATCTTGGATGCAGTGGTTAGCACTCGTGCTTCACAGAAAAAGGTCATGGATTCTATTCCACCTGTGTGGAGTTTGCTTGGTCACTAAAACATGTGGATTTTCCCCAAATGCATCACTGTTTACATAAAGTAACTGTTGAAAAAGTGTGTGTGTGAGCAAAGAGGTCCCTGTGTGAGGATCCCGGTCCTGTCGGGAGAGTCCACAGATGGTCTGCGGTGCGGTCATGTAGCCGCGGCCCTGAGAGCGCAGCTGCAGCCGCACGCTCTCCGCCTGTTCCCTCCCCGCTTTGCTTCCAGGATTCCAGGACGGACCAGCGCCGTGGCTCTCCTCTCCAGACCTCTCCAGACCTCTCCACACTTGCGCTCCTCATGGCGTCGCTGCTGGTCCTCGCGGTGGCCTCTCTGGTAGCCGTCGTCACCGTGCGTCCTGGAGCCGTGCGCGCCGCCGCCTGTGAGCCCGTGCGCATTCCGCTGTGCCGCGCCATGCCCTGGAACATGACCAAGATGCCCAACCACCTGCACCACAGCACGCAGGACAACGCGGTGCTGGCCATAGAGCAGTTCGAGGGGCTGCTGGGTGAGTGCGGACCGGGCCCAGAGTTGGGGAAGATTCTTTAACTTTGTGATGTTAAATATGAGGAGTTTCAGAGATAAACAAGTTATGTATTTGCACAAACGAGACAGGGACTACATGTGTGTTCATGACATTTTCATGTCATTCACTTTCACTCACTCTTACACTCAGACTCTCACTCACTCACTTTCTCTCACTCACTCTCTCACTTTCTCTCACTCACTCACACTTAATGCCCATGGAAACCAAGGAGCTGACCTCTGACCAGGAGTTAATGGATGAGACAGTGAAAAAACTGAATGAATGATGTTTTGATTTTACAGCAGCTTTTTGCAAAGTGTGTGACGTACAGAAAGGGTAGACTTCCACACGTCTTCCATTTTATATAATTGCTCCCACGGTGGATTTCTTCATGCCTAACTGTTTACCTAGTGCAGAGTTGGTCTTCCCAGCCTGGTGCAGGTCTACAGCTGTGTTTCTGGTGTCTGTGGTCATAGACTGTTTGTTGTGGACAGGTTTTGGGCTGATACCGATGTTTAACATAACAACTTGGCAGAAGTTTTCCTTTTTGTTAATTTATTACTTGCCGGGGTTTGTGCTTTAATGGTGGCTTCAGTTTTTCGTTTTTTTCTTCAGCTTCACTGTCACCGCCTCATGCTTCTCAAACGTCCAATGACATTGTTCTAAATTATTTTGTAGCAGCTCTTGAAATCTCACTGAACACGTGCAAACTGAATTATTGCTGATCTTTTTTTGATACTGTAAAATATTTCCACACGACCGCCGCCATTTTCTTTGTTTCTTCTACTGAGGAGAGTGCACAGACTGGTGTCTCTTCGCACGCGCCACCATCGGCGAATGTGGATGATGGTAGTTAACAAGGCAAACCTCGGCATGTAGAGGACTGAGAACTTATTATCCTCCATAGTTTGTGAATGAATTCTGTAAAAATCCTGTGATCTTCTCATTTTGTCTTTCAAAGCTGAGTCCAGTGGTTGGAAAAGTGTGTTTATCAATTTCTATGACTTTCCTGAAATGAAATGAAAAACAGTCACACTCAAGTGTCCAGGAATGATTGAAACCAAATGTAGGCACCACACAAGAAAAATCAACTCAATATTTTTTACATCCTCCTTTTGCTGATCCTCTAAATGCCTGGATTCTGGCGGGAAGAATTTTAGACCATTCTTGTTTGCAGATCAACTCTAGTTCAGTCAGGTTTTATCCGAGCCGTTTTAAATCACACAAATGTTATACATCACACCTGGTCATGCTGCTGTGTCCAGGCACCGGCTGCAGTCCAGACCTGCTCTTCTTCCTCTGTGCCATGTACGCGCCCATCTGCACCATCGACTTCCAGCACGAGCCCATTAAACCATGTAAGGCCGTGTGCGAGCGCGCCAAAGCCGGCTGCGAGCCCGTCATGAGGCGCTACAACCACAGCTGGCCCGACAGCCTGAGCTGCACCGAGCTGCCGCTGTACGACCGCGGAGTCTGCATCTCGCCCGAGGCCATCGTCAAGGCCGACAATCCAGGTGGGTGTGTGCTCCCGACTGAACCGCTGAAAATGCAGAACTTTGTACATGAACCACATTGGGGCTGTGCGGCTGTACGGGGAGCGCAGGTCGTGGATTGGCTGTAAGTCGCAACCGGCAAATGTCATAATTCTGTTATGAACATTCAGAATTGTTTACATTTCCCTCAGATCTGGGAAAAGTCTCTCACCTGCTCTCTGTGTTTATAGAGGGGTCTTTTACTCCCTTAATCCCTTAATGCTTTGCATCTTGGGGTGTAGCCTTGGGCAGCGCGCTGTAGATTCATTGCTACTAGCTAATGCTAAGGCTAATGCTAATGTAGCTGTGTTCTGATTGCTCCAACAGTCAAAACCCAGAACTACAATTTTACAGAAAACCGAAAGAAGCTCAACAGTGAATGAAGGACGACTTTACTCACAGACATACCCCACAATGTGCAATGCATTATGGGTAATGTGCAAGTAGCAAAGACTGAGCATTTCTTTGTCTGATTTGGTGTTTTCCTTTTCTCCAGCCCTCTCAGGGCTCCACAAGTAAAATCCAACTTCCTAAAAGGTGTAGGGAGTTTGGAAAGTCACTAACTCTGTGAGTGCATTAGTTTGGGCCAACCACAATATAAATAATATTGAAACCTTTGTCTTCAAAGTAAAGAAACGTCTTTAAAAACCTGTTGACCGTCATGAAGTAGCAGCCGTGTTCCTCAACAGTGAATGAAAACATTTTCCCAAATGACCTCATAGCTGATTTGCTTTTGCAGCTCTTAGATTTAAATTCCACAGGCTCATAGAAAGGCATGTTCTGCTCCGACACTGGACCAGGAGGCGGGACCAGGAGGCGGGACCAGGAGGCGGGACCAGGAGGCGGGACCAGGAGGCGGGACCAGGAGGCGGGACCAGGAGGCGGGACTACATAGCTCTATTCAATCAGTCTTAGACACATTTACAGACCTACTTCAGTCTGTGCAATAGTTTCTGTTTCAACACTTTTAGACGTTTATCTCCACCTGAACTGAATGCACCTTAAATCCAAAGAAGCTTCTAGCAACAGGAGTCTGACACATTGACACATTTACTGTAAATCATGGTTATCCACATTGACACAGATGAAAGGGTGAGGGCAGGTGGAGGGTGAGGACAGGTGGAGGGTGAGGACAGGTGGAGGGTGAGGACAGGTGGAGGGTGAGGTCAGGTGGAGGGTGAGGACAGGTGGAGGGTGAGGACGGTGGAGGGTGAGGACAGGTGGAGGGTGAAGACAGGTGGAGGGTGAGGACAGGTGGAGGGTGAGGACAGGTGGAGGGTGAAGACAGGTGGAGGGTAGGACAGGTGGAGGGTGAGGACAGGTGGAGGGTGAGGACAGGTGGAGGGTGAGGACAGGTGGAGGGTGAGGACAGGTGGAGGGTGAGGACAGGTGGAGGGTGAGGACAGGTGGAGGGTGAAGACAGGTGGAGGGTGAGGACAGGTGGAGGGTGAGGACAGGTGGAGGGTGAGGACAGGTGGAGGGTGAGGACAGGTGGAGGGTGAGGACAGGTGGAGGGTGAGGACAGGTGGAGGGTGAGGACAGGTGGAGGGTGAGGACAGGTGGAGGGTGAGGACAGGTGGAGGGTGAGGACAGGTGGAGGGGAGGACAGGTGGAGGGTGAGGACAGGTGGAGGGTGAGGACAGGTGGAGGGTGAGGACAGGTGGAGGGTGAGGACAGGTGGAGGGTGAAGACAGGTGGAGGGTGAAGACAGATGGAGGGTGAGGACAGGTGGAGGGTGAGGACAGGTGGAGGGTGAGGACAGGTGGAGGGTGAAGACAGGTGGAGGGTGAAGACAGGTGGAGGGTGAGGACAGGTGGAGAGTGAGGACAGGTGGAGGGTGAGGACAGGTGGAGGGTGAGGACAGGTGGAGGGTGAAGACAGGTGGAGGGTGAGGACAGGTGGAGGGTGAGGACAGGTGGAGGGTGAAGACAGGTGGAGGGTGAGGACAGGTGGAGGGTGAGGACAGGTGGAGGGTGAGGACAGGTGGAGAGTGAGGACAGGTGGAGGGTGAGGACAGGTGGAGGGTGAGGACAGGTGGAGGGTGAGGACAGGTGGAGGGTGAGGACAGGTGGAGGGTGAAGACAGGTGGAGGGTGAAGACAGGTGGAGGGTGAGGACAGGTGGAGGGTGAGGCCAGGTGGAGGGTGAGGCCAGGTGGAGGGTGGAGACAGGTGGGTGAAGTCAGGTGGAGGGTGAGGACAGGTGGAGGGTGAGGACAGGTGGAGGGTGAGGACAGGTGGAGGGTGAGGACAGGTGGAGGGTGAGGACAGGTGGAGGGTGAGGACAGGTGGAGGGTGAGGACAGGTGGAGGGTGAGGACAGGTGGAGGGTGAGGACAGGTGGAGGGTGAGGACAGGTGGAGGGTGAGGACAGGTGGAGGGTGAGGACAGGTGGAGGGTGAGGACAGGTGGAGGGTGAGGACAGGTGGAGGGTGAGGACAGGTGGAGGGTGAGGACAGGTGGAGGGTGAGGACAGGTGGAGGGTGAGGACAGGTGGAGGGTGAGGACAGGTGGAGGGTGAGGACAGGTGGAGGTGGAAGACAGGTGGAGGGTGAGGACAGGTGGAGGGTGAGGACAGGTGGAGGGTGAGGACAGGTGGAGGGTGAGGACAGGTGGAGGGTGAGGACAGGTGGAGAGTGAGGACAGGTGGAGGGTGAGGACAGGTGGAGGGTGAGGACAGGGAGGTGGAGGGTGAGGACAGGTGGAGGGTGAGGACAGGTGGAGGGTGAGGACAGGTGGAGGGTGAGGACAGGTGGAGGGTGAGGACAGGTGGAGGGTGAGGACAGGTGGAGGGTGAGGACAGGTGGAGGGTGAGGACAGGTGGAGGGTGAGGACAGGTGGAGGGTGAGGACAGGTGGAGGGTGAGGACAGGTGGAGGGTGAAGACAGGTGGAGGGTGAGGACAGGTGGAGGGTGAGGACAGGTGGAGGGTGAGGGTGAGGACAGTGAGGTGAGGAAGTGGAGGGTGAGGACAGGTGGAGGGTGAGGACAGGTGGAGGGTGAGGACAGGTGGAGGGTGAGGACAGGTGGGAGACAGGTGAGGTGAGGACAGGTGGAGGGTGAGGACAGGTGGAGGGTGGAGGGTGAGGACAGGTGGAGGGTGAGGACAGGTGGAGGTGAGGACAGGTGGAGGGGACAGTGGAGGAGGACAGGTGGAGGGTGAGGACAGGTGGAGGGTGAGGACAGGTGGAGGGTGAGGACAGGTGGAGGGTGAGGACAGGTGGAGGGTGAGGACAGGTGGAGGGTGAGGACAGGTGGAGGGTGAGGACAGGTGGAGGGTGAGGACAGGTGGAGGGTGAGGACAGGTGGAGGGTGAGGACAGGTGGAGGGTGAGGACAGGTGGAGGGTGAGGACAGGTGGAGGGTGAGGACAGGTGGAGGGTGAGGACAGGTGGAGGGTGAGGACAGGTGGAGGGTGAGGACAGGTGGAGGGTGAGGACAGGTGGAGGGTGAGGACAGGTGGAGGGTGAGGACAGGTGGAGGGTGAGGACAGGTGGAGGGTGAGGACAGGTGGAGGGTGGAGGACAGGTGGAGGGTGAGGACAGGTGGAGGGTGAGGACAGGTGGGAGGGTGAGGACAGGTGGAGGGTGAGGACAGGTGGAGGGTGAGGACAGGTGGAGACAGGGAGTGAGGACAGGTGGAGGGTGAGGACAGGTGGAGGGTGAGGACAGGTGGAGGGTGAGGACAGGTGGAGGGTGAGGACAGGTGGAGGGTGAGGACAGGTGGACAGGGGTGAGGACAGGTGGAGGTGAGGACAGGTGGAGGGTGAGGACAGGTGGAGGGTGAGGACAGGTGGAGGGTGAGGACAGGTGGAGGGTGAGGACAGGTGGAGGGTGAGGACAGGTGGAGGGTGAGGACAGGTGGAGGGTGTAGACGTGGCGTTGACATGGTTGTGTTGTTTGCAGACTCGTACTATCAGGACCCGGCCCGTTGCAATCCAGGTGAGTACAATAAGTCATTGCACCATCACCACGGCAACTGGCTGTTGGTCAATAATGGGCTATTGTCCCTGTTCCAAAGGCTGGATAAAGAAACCGTTAGTTTCAAGGTATTTCAAATATTAAATCTGATCTTATCCGACCCACGTCACCTGCTGCCTCTGAGGACTGCTGTCGTTGTGTCCCTGGGCAAGACACTTCACCCCACTTTGCCCAAACCCCCGCTCAAACCCCACAGACCAGGAGGAGCAGGAGAAGCAGGAGGAGCAGGAGGAGCAGGAGGATCAGAGAAGACCAGGAGGAGCAGGAGGATCAGAGAGGACCAGGAGGAGCAGGAGAATCAGAGAGGACCAGGAGGATCAGAGAGGACCAGGAGGATCAGAGAGGACCAGGAGGAGCAGGAGGATCAGAGAGGACCAGGAGTAGAAGGAGAATCAGAGAGGAGCAGGAGTAGCGGGAAGATCAGAGAGGACCAGGAGGATCATAGAGGACCAGGAGGAGCAGGAGGATCATAGAGGACCAGGAGGAGCAGGAGGATCAGAGAGGACCAGAAGCAGCAGGAGGATCAGAGGAGGAACAGAGAAGGAGCAGGAGGAACAGAGAGGACCAGGAGGAGCAGGAGGATCAGAGAGGACCAGAAGCAGCAGGAGGATCAGAGGAGGATCAGAGAGGAGCAGGAGGATCAGAGGAGGATCAGAGAGGAGCAGGAGGAACAGAGAGGACCAGGAGGAGCAGGAGGATCAGAGAGGACCAGAAGCAGCAGGAGGATCAGAGGAGGATCAGAGAGGAGCAGGAGGAACAGAGAGGACCAGAAGCAGCAGGAGGATCAGAGGAGGATCAGAGAGGATCAGGAGAGAGGAGCAGGAGGAACAGAGAGGACCAGGGGGAGCAGGAGGATCAGAGAGGACCAGGAGAAACAGAGAGGACCAGGAGGAGCAGGAGGACCAGAGAGGACCAGGAGAAACAGAGAGGACCAGGAGGAGCAGGAGGACCAGCACCATAAATGGATAGATAAAGGGATGGAGATGACACATGACAGTATTAGAAAGTGTTGTTTTAAAGCCTGTTATTTCATTTGTTCAGACTTGAATCTGATGATAATGGTTTGAACCTGTGCTGCTTCTGTAGAGACCAGTCCGGACTTCCCCCTGGACTCCAAGAACCTTCGTTGCAGAGGTCCGAGCCCAGGTCCGACTCACCTGAACACATCTCAGTTATCGTCTGCAGACAATGTTTTACTACTTTGTCATTGGTTATAAGAGCAGTGGTTGATGACATCAGAGGTCACACATAGTTTACTAAAAACATGTTTATTACTCACTCCACTAAATCCAAGAATATTCTAGTGATTTAGTTTGTGTCTTAAAAAGAGTTTGGACCCAGATCAGAAATATCTCATCTTTTCTAGATCGCTGCAAGTGTAAAAATGTGCGAATGGGACAGAAAACCTATCTGAAGAACAACTACAACTACGGTGAGTAAAAAGGGACTAAAAAGCTTCTCTACTTCAAATGTATTTATGGACTGTTCGGTCAGAGCAGGTGCTGAAGTGATGTCACGTGTAGGGCCCCACCAACATGGGTTTTTTGGAATCAATAGTTCTACTCGGGCGACAGTGGCTCAGTTTGAGCCCGACTTTCTCCAACGACTCCCACTGTCTGCTGCCGTTGTGTCCTTAGGCAAGACACTTCGCCCCCATTAGAATGAGTCTGGTGTGTGTGTGTGAAGGGTTGGTGGTGGTGGGAGGGGCCGATGGCACAGACTGGTTTCCTCGCTTCTGTCAGTGTGCCCCAGGGCAGCTGTGGCTACAGTAGTAGTTTATCACCACCGTGTTTGGAGTGAATGAATAATGTGGTGAAGAGTCTTTGAGTGTTCAGAAAAGCGCTGTATAAGACAACGCTTTTTAACTTGAGGGCTGAGGACGAGCGATAGAAAAATGAATTGGAATGGGTAGATTTGTGTCCCAAGATGCAGGAGGTCATGTGACTCCTGGTTATAGAGTGAGACCAAAGAGGAGCGATGAAGACCAGTGGGGGATGAAGACAAAAAGCATCTTCGGCCTGACTGTAGAACGGCCCTTCAGTCCCCCTAATGCAACGGCACACATGTGTAGATTCTGTTTGCCCCATTATAGGCTGTGCCACAGACTGGTCCCAGGCTGTGGTTCTTCGTCTCATGGATGAAGCACCGATTTCTGACTCGTTGTGAACTTTGCTGTGTGTGCGTCCTTCAGAGCGTCCAGTTTTATTCTGTATTGATCTGAGTTCTGCAGCCTCTCGTGTCCAAGTTTCTTCCAGGCGTTTGTCTCTATCGCTTATTGGAAATGCCTGTGGTGATGGCTGTGTCAGGGATCAAAAATATGTCCTTTACTCAGAGACTCCATCGAGTCACATTTGAAGGTGGGGTTTTAAGTTTGTAAGTCTGTCTGAGTGAGGGTCCTATTGCTTTCCTGAGTGTAGAACCCTTTCGCGGTGTCCATAAAGTGTATTTTTCTGTTCAGTAATCTTCAGATTTTTCGCCCGCTGCTTTTATTTTTTATCTTTTATCTGCAGAGATTTTGGTCCCTGTAGAAGGACGATAACTCTGAAGAGCTTTCACCAGCACTTGTCCGACAGGCAGGGATAAAACGTTGGACCGCTGCTGTAGTTCCATTGAAGGCGTGTGTTGGTCTAAGGCAGGACCTGCTCTGGGGCGTGTCTGAGCGGAACAAAGCCTCTTCTGCTGCACACCTCGGTTCTACAGAGAAAGGTTCAGAACATCTTGGCACAGACTGGACTGTGTTTCAGGACTCTTCTCTGGACAATAATGAACTTACAGATGTTGTTAGCAGGTTTTAGTCTTTGTGAAGAAGGAAGTGAAGCTGTACCTCAACAATAACCCATGGTTCTCCACAGGCGTAAAGGATTACTTTATATATATATATATATAAAGTATATATTAATAAATAAAGTGACAAAGACAGAAGAAGATGAGCTTAGAAACAACTTAAAGAGAACATGGAAAGGGAGAAAAAGAGGATTGAGCTCCTGATAATCAGCATTTGGCCGATGATCGGAACACGTTTTATTCTAGATTCAACAAATCTGACTTTGAACAGAAACGAGCTGAACTTAAAGACAGACAGAACCATGGACTCATGGACAGAACCATGGACGCACGGACAGAACCATGGACTCATGGACAGAACCATGGACGCAGGGACAGAACCATGGACGCAGGGACAGAACCATGGACGCACGGACAGAACCATGGACGCACGGACAGAACCATGGACTCATGGACAGAACCATGGACTCATGGACAGAACCATGGACTCATGGACAGAACCATGGACGCACGGACAGAACCATGGACTCATGGACAGAACCATGGACTCATGGACAGAACCATGGACGCACGGACAGAACCATGGACGCAGGGACAGAACCATGGACGCAGGGACAGAACCATGGACGCAGGGACAGAACCATGGACTCATGGACAGAACCATGGACTCATGGACAGAACCATGGACGCACGGACAGAACCATGGACGCAGGGACAGAACCATGGACGCAGGGACAGAACCATGGACGCACGGACAGAACCATGGACTCATGGACAGAACCATGGACTCATGGACAGAACCATGGACTCATGGACAGAACCATGGACTCATGGACAGAACCATGGACTCATGGACAGAACCATGGACTCATGGACACCTGAGAGTGGATTTTGAATGTTTTTTTTTCCACACAGTTAGTGCCACTTTATTCCCAAACTCTTGTTGACTTTTTGTATTGAGAAATATTAAACCAAGCTTAAAGGCGCTATACCCGTTTCTGCAATGTTTGAATGTTTAGCACCGCCCCCCAACTCGCTCAATGGCTTCTCATTTCCCCTACGCTCTCATCCCACAGAGCCACCTAGTTTTATTTGCGATCTGATACATATGCTAACATTAGCATTAGCGCAACTTCTTGTAAGCTGTGCAACAATGATGAAATGGTACTAAAGCAACGCACTGCTAACACAATATATAAGTAAAAGAATACCGCTAGTTTCGCGTCCGAATGTATTAATTTAAAACCTTAGAATATATTCTAATATTTAATTATAATGTGTTATAGAGCTCCTCAAAGCAGCAGCAGCAATTCTTCCGATCATTTTTTCTTGATAACAGAACTCTCAAACCAATAATGACCGAAGCCCCAATGCAACCTCTGTTTGTAATTCAGGTGTGTAAAATACTGCCATTACTCTGCAAGTACAACAAGCTATCAGCGCCTGTCACTACACACTTGTGTAGAGAAGCCAACGGAGCTAGCGGAGCTAGCCACGCTCAATAAACAACTACATATCTATCAATCAACACCATTAAACGTCAATCGGACAATACAGTACACATATACATCCTTAACACACATGCACGGATGATTTCAGAATTTGCTGTTAACGTTTTCATGACAAAAATACTGTTTCAATGTGACAAAAAGCGATTGCGAAAAACCCGGAAGTTACCATGAAACAACTAGCTAGCTTAGCTGTTACCTGCCTAGCACGTCCCGGTGAAACCTTTGGGAGCTAACTATTTTATTTGCAGTCATTAAATACATTTCGAATTACAAGGGTTGTCTAAGATTTGTTCACATTTTTTATTCAATTATTTTGTTCATTTTTTATTTTAGAATTATATTCGAATTTTGAAGTCGAAGCCCTGGTGTTTAGCAGCGCTGTAGAGACTAGAGGACGCAGGCTGTTCGCTGCTCGTTCTGTGAGCGGAGGAGAAAGAGCGGCCCGCTCAGACTCTACTCAGCACTTTTCACTGCTTGTAATTCTTACACAGCTGAATCAATTACCTCAAGTTTTCAATTAAATGTTGTATTATGATACAACTTGTATGTAGTAAAAAGCATTTTTATGAACTACTTAGAAAAAAAATCGGGTATAGCTTCTTTAATGGTAAGGCCTGGATTTAAGCACTTTGATGAGAATGACTTTATATTGTGAATTTAGGCTACAGAGAATATATTTTAACATTTTCTCCTGGTGGTGTGCCACAAGATGCCTTGGCTCTAAAGAGGTTGAAAAACACTGTTCTGACCAATTCTGTGATATTTTTCAGTACATTTACGAACAATAAGAAATAGTTCCCAAAATGTGGAAGCACTCAATATTTGTGACAGATGCCAAAACTCTTTGAGTGATTTCAAGACTGTTGCATTGACCTCATTGATGATGAAAACTCTCTGAATGATAATTAAGGAGCCATTCTTCTGCGAGTTGGGGATAAGTTAGACCCTCTGAAGTTCACATACAGGTCTGCGAGGGTTGTTGATGACGCCGAGATCACACTAAAGCACTTTGTTTCTTGACATTTGGATAAAGCAAAGACTCATGTCCGGCTTTTGTTGATGGATTTATTTTACATCTGCCTCTAACACCATCTTTTTGCTTTTACAGCGACTGATTTGAGGAAATGTGGTTGGATGGTTGTAGGACTTCCTAACGTCTCACAGTGTGTCAGGGTCAACGGCACCATGTCAGAGGTCGCCTTTACGACCAGTGGGTCTCCTCAGGGTGGTTGTTTGTGGAGGACCATGGACCTGTCCTTAATGCTCTCTGTGGAGGACCATGGACCTGTCCTAATGCTCTCTGTGGAGGACCATGGACCTGTCCTAATGCTCTCTGTGGAGGACCATGGACCTGTCCTAATGCTCTCTGTGGAGGACCATGGACCTGTCCTGAATGCTCTCTGTGGAGGACCATGGACCTGTCCTTAAAGGCACACCGCGGACTTTGTGACCTAAAGAGTTGACACATATGAGTTATTTTATATGAATACTTGGGCCAATATACAGCGCTTGACACTTGCAATGCTCCGAGCGGGGCTGCCCTCTTGAAATACCGCCCATGTAAGTTTCGAGCAGACGGACCGTCTGCCACCAGGTCACGTGACTTGGAAGAAAGACTTGCTTTACGGCTACAGGCGCTGATATACTCATGGAGCTAAGGCTTTTGCTACTCATTTTTCACCTGCTCGACTCCTGGTCATGGCTGAGGCAAGGAAAAATGTTAAACCTTCGGAGGAGGCTAAAAAGAGGAAACGCGAAAGGGATCGTGCTGTAAGCTGCATGTCTGTATGAGCGCTGCTCTTCACCTGGTTCCTGGATGTCATCGACTGCAAAGATGTCATTCCACGCAGCACGAGCTAGACGCAGAACTCCCTCATCCAGGATATAGAAGTCCATGTGTGGTAGATTACTAATGCAGCGGTCTGGAGGCTGACCACAGCAGAGTCTCTCAATATCTGTAGGCATGTCTCTACAGTTTGAACACACACACCAGTGCATGCTGTCTGAATACACACTCAAAAGACACCGGCTGACTGTTTGTTGACTTTTGCGACAGTGCTGAGTTGCTTGTGGCCACTAGGGGCGCTAAACGTGAAAGTTGCAGGTCTAGCGCCCCTAGTGGCCAAGAGTTACACGGTGTGCCTTTAAGGCTCTCTGTGGAGGACCATGGACCTGTCCTTAATGCTCTCTGTGGAGGACCATGGACCTGTCCTGAATGCTCTCTTTGGAGGACCATGGACCTGTCCTTAATGCTCTCTGTGGAGGACCATGGACCTGTCCTTAATGCTCTCTGTGGAGGACCATGGACCTGTCCTGAATGCTCTCTTTGGAGGACCATGGACTATTGTTGTTGTTCAGAGTTTGAAGGTTGAATGTACAAAGGATACATGGTTAACACAGACTTTTGGTACGATCTGAACTACATTAGGGGTATAACCTTTGAACTCCCTCCCATCTCATCCATTGACCTTTGTTAGAATGTGAAACAGCCTTTGCACACCAGGCCAGACCAGTTGGACCAGGCCAGACCGGTTGGACCAGGCCAGTGACGACTCTGTGTCCGAGGTCTGACTCTGCCGCTGAGGAGCTGCAGTTGGGGTCCACTTCTGTCCGGTCGCCAGAGTAGGAGCTGCTTGGGCCACGCAGGGGTCCATGAGTGTCATCTCTGCCCTAAGTCTGGAACACTTGAACCCCTCTGAGACTGGACACAGGAAGCCCCCTCCATACAGCTCGGTCTTACTGACACATCTTGGGAGGCCCAGCCATGTTGGAACGACGTCATTCGCTCAGCTCTTATCTTCTGCACATTCAAGCTCATTTTACCTTCTGTCAGAGAGCTCGTTAGAAATCTACAGATGCGACATATTCACTCGTTATTGTTGTCGTGTAGTAAATAAAGATAGTAAATGTCAGAATACCATCATGTCTGATAAAACGTTTCTCTCGTGGTCTGTAAAGAAGACTCTTGGAGAAATGAAGGTGAACATTTTTGTCACCTTTTTCACATCTCACATTTTGAAATCCAGATCAGGCTTCATGAATGTTGCCAGAACCGAGCCCCAGCATGTGCCGCCCGAGCGTGTTGAAGCCTGATCCGGGGCCCGTGAGACTATGTTGTTCTGCCTCTGTAGACCTTGATCATGGTCATGCACATGGTTTACCCACCAGATAATCCAGCCTCAGCTTTGCCTGCAGTGTTTATGGGACACACTAAGGCATCGGCCGCAGTGACTGAACCAGGTCCAAAACGGGTCTAAATCAGGACTGAGCCAGTCTAGACCAGGTTAAAATCAGGACTTGAATCTGGAAACGTGGATCTGACACTGATTTTTCAAACGGGTTAGGGTTAGGAGTTATGTTCCAGTGTCCAGATTGTTTTCTTCATGACTTAGATGTTTTCAGTTCTATTCATCTGAGAGTTGTGTGAGTCTATTCTCATCATCTAAAACTGTAACATATAAACTATATTCAATCCAAGAAGGCCACTTTACAAAATGTTACAGTTTAAAATAATGAAAATAGACTCACACAACTCTCATATGAGCAGAGCTGCAGAGCAGAGGGCGACAGAGGCTCAGTGGGTGGAGCCTTTGAGCCTTTGAGTCTGAAGCTGATGTTTTGTGGCTGTCACTGGGAAACACAGACATTCCACCTCTGAAGACTTTCTCTGGGCTGAGAGTGTCTTTGTTGTGCGGGCGACATGTGGTCGGGATAATTGTTGTGTTGAAAGACACACGTTTCATCTTCACAGCTCTCGCTGATGGAAGGTTTTCACTCCGAACCCCTCCATACATTCTGTCCTTCACACGGATCATCGTCTGGTTCTTTGAAACTCGTGTTTGGAGGAGAAAGATTGAAGAGCACCAAACCCACTGTTCTATGACCGAGTTTGAAGACCCTGGCTCCTGGTCCACCTGTTGGGAGGGGCCTCCTGCTCCTGGTCCACCTGTTGGGAGGAGCCTCCTGCTCCTGGTCCACCTGTTGGGAGGGGCCTCCTGCTCCTGGTCCACCTGTTGGGAGGGGCCTCCTGCTCCTGGTCCACCTGTTGGGAGGGGCCTCCTGCTCCTGGTCCACCTGTTGGGAGGGGCCTCCTGCTCCTGGTCCACCTGTTGGGAGGAGCCTCCTGCTCCTGGTCCACCTGTTGGGAGGGGCCTCCTGCTCAGTGAAGAGCTGACGCTGGATACAGAAGGTTTTCCCGTTACAATATGAAGACGTAAAGTTTGGTTTCTGATTTGCTTGTGCGTAAATTCATACTTTGGCCTATAATAAAAGATGGACAGATACTTATTGATCCTTGATCCCCGAAGGACAAATCCAGGTGTCAGCAGCAGAAACACATCCAAAGCAGCAGATTAGGTCTCAGCAGATTAGGTCCCAGCAGATTAGGTCTCAGCAGATTAGGTGTCAGCAGATTAGGTCTCAGCAGATTAGGTCCCAGCAGATTAGGTCTCAGCAGATTAGGTCTCAGCAGATTAGGTCTCGGCAGATTAGGTCTGGTTCATTCCTCCAGTGTTTGGTTGGAACCATCGTCTCTGTTCTGGTCTGGATCAGTGTAAAAAAAAAAGTTGACATTTTTTTGTACAAACTACATAAGGCTTGAAGTTACATAATGCACCTTTATGTGAAAAGAAGGTTTCTGACCTTGTAGTAAATTGTTAATACTTTGGAACAGTGTTTCTTCTGAAGCAAGTGTTAGGATCCAGCTCTGCTGTAGTTCTCATTTTGAAAACACAAATACATAAATATAGATGTAGCTGTTGTCCTTATGCTGTCGTTTTTCCCTTTAAAAAAGAAATAAAAGCCTGAATCATGTGTAAACACATTGTGTCTGGGGCTAAGGGGAAGTGCGGAGGTGGAGGTTGTGTCCGGAGCAGATCCAGATCCCGCTCAGCTGTGACTCAGCTGTGATGAGGCGGCTCCCACTCACATCCACTTTGGCGCCGGCCGCACTCTTCTGTGTGCGTTTTCCGCTCGCTGAGCTCGATATTGACATGTAATTGGAACAAGGGGAAAGTTGTTGAGGTGTGTTCCGCTCTGTCTGCTCACGGACCGGCGAGCCCTAAGTGCACGGAAAGAAAACCGCATGCTCATGTCTGGAATGTGGAGGCGTCAGAGGAAAAGAGATCAGAAGCAGCACAGACAGAGCTGTAGAGCATTCTGCTCCTCACCAATCCTCCTCTTTTCTGTGGTTCTCACACAAAGATAAACCTGGATCAGAAATGAACCTCAAGAGCCAAACCCGAGACAAGGAAAAAAACACAAAGTCACTTAAACAAAGTTAAAAACACAATATCACAGAAGAAGAATGAGATAAGAAGCAGGACGATTGTGACATAAAAGACTAAATCCATGAGTCAGCTCAGTTTGTTCCAAATGTGCCAAAATAAAAATATGTGTTTTAGAGCCTTAAAGAGCTACAGTGACTCATCAGCTCTGACATGCTCAGGCAGGCGGTCCAGAGCCTGGTCCAGCCTAGAGCCTGGTCCAGCCCAGAGTCTGATCCAGCCCAGAGCCTGGTCCAGCCCAGAGCCTGGTCCAGCCCAGAGCCTGGTCCAGCCCAGAGCCTGGTCCAGCCCAGAGACAGAGGAGTGGACCCAGTGTTTGTCAAACGCAACAGTTTTGGTTCAATCCAAACAGTATCTGAACTCTTTTTGTTCAGACAAAGCTATCAGAAAAGAATATCCAAACTCAGGTCAAATAAAGTGATTTGAGGCTTTCACTGAGCACTGTTGTAACAGTCGACCAGTCCATGAAAAAACTAAACGACTGTCCTGTATGTACAGTGTAGTGTGTATGTACAGTGTAATGTGTATGTACAGTGTAATGTGTATGTACAGTGTAGTGTATATGTACAGTGTAGTGTGTATGTACAGTGTAGTGTGTATGTACAGTGTAGTGTGTATGTACAGTGTAGTGTATATGTACAGTGTAGTGTATATGTACAGTGTAGTGTGTATGTACAGTGTAATGTGTATGTACAGTTTAGTGTGTATGTACAGCGTAGTGTGTATGTACAGTGTAGTGTGTATGTACAGTGTAGTGTGTATGTACAGTGTAGTGTGTATGTACAGTGTAGTGTGTATGTACAGTGTAGTGTGTATGTACAGTGTAGTTTGTATGTACAGTGTAGTGTGTATGTACAGTGTAGTGTGTATGTACAGTGTAGTGTGTATGTACAGCGTAGTGTGTATGTACAGCAGGTCTAGTGCCCTGGTCATCCAGGGTTGGAGCTCCTTTAGAGATAGGTGGAGGAGCTTATTCACACGAGCTCGGAGTAGAGCCACTGCCCCTCCACATGGAGCGGAGCCAGATCAGAGCCTCATCATCGTTGTGCTGGAGAACCCCAAGTCCCAGTATTGGCCCCTGGGGTTCTCCACAGGTCCCGATCGGCTTTGATGAGCTTTGAGAAGTGTCTGAAACATGTCTGTTTTTGTGCAGTGATCCGCGCTCGTGTGCGGGAGGTGAGGAACCGCGGCCTGGAGCCCACTGCGCTGGTCGAGGTGCGGGAGGTGCTCAAGTCCTCACTGGTCAACATCCCCCGAGACCTCCAGACCCTGTACTACTCCTCCTCCTGCCTGTGCCCACCGCTCACACTGGGGGAAGAGTACCTCATCATGGGCTATGAAAGCGAGGAGAGGTCCAGGTATTCTCAAAGCTCACATGGTTCTTCTGGTCATTGACAGATGTGAAAGCTCTGGTATTGATGACACACATGTTTGTGTTTGTCAGGCTGCTGCTCATAGACGGCTCCATTGCTCAGAAGTGGAAAGATAAAATGGCAAAAAAGATCAAAGTGAGTATTCAAAACTACAGCCACAAGAGTCACACACTGCCTCCCTGTGTGGCCCTCTCTACATGGTCCATATACATGGTCCATATACATGGTCCATATACATGGTCCATATACATGGTCATGTCTCGGCAGTACTGCTAACCCACCAACAGACTCCTCTGCTCCTGTAGATCAGCAGCCGACAGAGACCATGAAGACAATTGTTTCTGGTTTAGTTTGAATATTTACTGTACCTTTGTTAAAGTGCTGCAATTGATTTAATAAGGTCAATGCACATGGTCATGGTCATGGTTATGCACATGGTTATGGTTATGCACATGGTTATGGTCATGCTGAGGAGGCTCTACTGCTGAGGAGGTTCTACTGCTGAGGAGGTTCTACTGCTGAGGAGGTTCTACTGCTGAGGAGGCTCTACTGCTGAGGAGGCTCTACTGCTGAGGAGGCTCTACTGCTGAGGAGGCTCTACTGCTGAGGAGGTTCTACTGCTGAGGAGGTTCTACTGCTGAGGAGGTTCTACTGCTGAGGAGGTTCTACTGCTGAGGAGGCTCTACTGCTGAGGAGGTTCTACTGCTGAGGAGGTTCTACTGCTGAGGAGGCTCTACTGCTGAGGAGGTTCTACTGCTGAGGAGGTTCTACTGCTGAGGAGGTTCTACTGCTGAGGAGGTTCTACTGCTGAGGAGGTTCTACTGCTGAGGAGGTTCTACTGCTGAGGAGGCTCTACTGCTGAGGAGGTTCTACTGCTGAGGAGGTTCTACTGCTGAGGAGGGTCTACTGCTGAGGAGGCTCTACTGCTGAGGAGGCTCTACTGCTGAGGAGGTTCTACTGCTGAGGAGGTTCTACTGCTGAGGAGGTTCTACTGCTGAGGAGGTTCTACTGCTGAGGAGGCTCTACTGCTGAGGAGGCTCTACTGCTGAGGAGGTTCTACTGCTGAGGAGGTTCTACTGCTGAGGAGGTTCTACTGCTGAGGAGGCGCAGGTGGAGTGCAGGGGCACCTCCTAAAGACCTCCTGTGACTCTGTGGTGGAGCCTCTTGTACGGTGTGGTCTGCTGGAGTATCACAGGGACAGGAAGAAGCTGGAACAGGCCATCAGGAAGACCAGCTCTGTCCTGGGCTGTTCCCTGGACAGTGCAGCAGGTGGAGGACAGGAGGGTTCTGGACAAACATCTCTAAACCATGACTGCCGCCCCCTGCAGGACACTCAGGGGTCTCTCCTCTCTGGAGAGCAGCTTAAGGGATGGACTGATGCACCCTCAGTGTGACGCAGAGCTTCTGCAGGTCTTTCCTTCCTACTGCTGTCAGACTGTACGACGAACAATGAGGACTAATGAATACTTCTTACCTGACCTCACATGTTGTGCATCTGTGCAATAATTTGAAGTAATGATAGAATGTGCAATATAGAACCACATGTGTCACTGTGACTACCTCAGCAGGAGGTATGGGCTAAAAGTGAGTAACATGTACAGTAGCATCACATGCTAACATGTACAGTAGCATCACATGCTAACATGTAGAGTAGCATCACATGCTAACATGTACAGTAGCATCACATGCTAACATGTAGAGTAGCATCACATGCTAACAGGTACAGTAGCATCACATGCTAACATGTAGAGTAGCATCACATGCTAACATGTACAGTAGCATCACATGCTAACATGTAGAGTAGCATCACATGCTAACAGGTACAGTAGCATCACATGCTAACATGTACAGTAGCATCACATGCTAACATGTACAGTAGCATCACATGCTAACATGTAGAGTAGCATCACATGCTAACAGGTACAGTAGCATCACATGCTAACATGTAGAGTAGCATTACATGCTAACATGTACAGTAGCATCACATGCTAACAGGTACAGTAGCATCACATGCTAACATGTACAGTAGCATCACATGCTAACATGTACAGTAGCATCACATGCTAACATGTACAGTAGCTACTAGCTCTGTATAGATGGTTTTCCATTGACGTCACGCACTACCCACAATTCCGCAGTTCGCCATATTGGCTGTCTAGCCGCTGATAGTTGTAGCGACCTCAAGCGATCCCCTCTAAATGAATGAGAGGAGGAAGGGAGGGGGAGGAGGGGGAGGGTGGTAGACAGAAGTCATTTACGGCCTGTGATATCAACTGCTTCGTTCAAAATAAATTGATTTAAAGAAATATTGCATCATATACATCATGACCTTTCTTTAATTGTAAAACTGTTTAGTGAAAGTAAGCCATGTCTGGGAAGTCCACGGGTCTCGCTGCGTTTCATATGGATCCAAATCTCCAGATTCTCAAAGATCTTGCCTCACAGATGACTCCAGTGCATCAATAACTTAACGCGCTCAGTGTCGGCCCAATCCGTGGCTTTAGATGACATGGGGACAAATGATACGTGACAATATAAGCCAGACAAACAACGCGTAAGGCATCATGGGTAATAAGCACGTGATGGAAAACAGTCTGTGTGCTCTCACAACTGTCCCTGATGTGCGTTGTAACCCTGAAATGTCCCCGCTGTGATACGATTAAAGATCTTTATTGTTTGTGATGCAGTAACGTTGGGGAAATAACAAAACCAACATTATTCTTGTTACAATTCACACATTTGTTCAGCGTTAGTGTGTGTGGATGAACCAATCCCAGCCCTGGGATTCAGCTGTTCTGATTGGCTGTGTTCCTTCTGTGTCCTGTGCAGAGATGGAATATCCTTCAGGAAGGAGGAGCAGCAGCCCGCTCAGGCCACGCCCACTGACTCTGGAGCTCCGCCCTCAGCCCCACATTGCACTATGAGGCTGCAGCTGTGACTGAACAGGGAGGATGGGCCCTCACCGTTGCCGCGCCTTACAGCAGACTGTTCTGCAGAACAAAGACTTTAAGCTTTTAGCTTCGACCACGCTCCTCCTCGTCCTTCACTTACTCAAATGTGTATTTTCATTCATTCATTCAAGCATGTTCCTGTATTTCCTTTCATTTATTTATAGCTAAGTTTTAAGTTTTGCTCAGAACATCTGTGTCCTTTGCCCCCACCTCCTCCATGTCCCGTGTACGACAGACATCATGATGCCCCAATGATCCAGACTTTAAAGGTCCGCAGCTGGGACGGCCTCGTCACACTTGAGTCTTTGACAGCGACCAATTGTGAAGTTTCACTTTAGAAATGATGGGTTCTTGGAGAGTGGCTCAGTCGGTAAAGCTTTGGCCTTTGAGCCTGAAGGCCCTTCTCCAACAACTCCCATTGATGTCTGCTGCCGTTGTGTCCTAGGGCAAGACACTTAACCCCACTTTGCCTGAAGAAAAGCTCTGACTGCTGCCCCCGATCCAGAAATGGATTAAGGGGAAGAAGATGGATTAATCATTGTTATCACAGATACTTCAGCAGTGTTTAAGTGTTAAAAAAAAAAACATTCTGTCCGTCAATGTATTGGTGTAGAAAATACTTATTTGACCAAAAACAAGTTTAACTCAAACACACAGGTCCTGGAGCGGACTCTCAATGTTGCCCAGCGACATTGGGATCTGCATGGAAGGTCTGTATAGAAGAATGGGGGAAAATTCCAGCCACAGAATAACAAACAAAAAACTTTAAATGTAGCTCTATGGCTTGGAGGGATACTAGCCCCTCCCCCATAAGAGCCCCACTTCCTGCTTTCTTTGCACTAGAAATGTGCCTTTGCTCTGAGACTGTCTCAGCCTCGTTCAGACGGAGACGCTGCATTTAGCAAAAACAACCAGACTCCTTTTTCAAGTGCACAGCATTTACACCACGACGGAGAACAGTGTAGTTCTAACTTGCGGCCAGTAGTGGGCAGTGAAACTTTACAGCACGACAACATCCTCCTCTGGCCAAAGACGAGAAAGAACCAACATCATTCTGCTGCGAACATGGAGACTGAACCTACAGCGTCATGGTTTCATTTGAACGAAGTAGAATCGTCCTCTGTTAGCGTCCAAATGTGCTGAGGCCAATCCGATATAAACTATTAACGTTTTACTGCCGCAGCGTCTCCGTGTAAACAGCAGCTGATCATGGGTTCGAGTCCCGCTCTAAGGCCTTGTCCCGAAGATCCCCCCCCATCGCTGAGAGCTGTGGGGAAAGAAATCTTTTTATCCTTTTGGAAAATGCCTGATCACAAAATCAGACCGTTTTAAAATTGTGCCTTTTCGAAAGTTTTGTTTTGAGGTTTTAGACGATTGTGGAAATGGATTTGTTGGAGACGTGATGTTTGTTCTGATCGTGTGGATCCTCGACTGCTCTGAGCCTAAAGTCAGATTTGTTGTTAAAGGTAAAATGAGTTCCTGATTCATCTGTGGTTTTCTAATCTTCTCTGTGACGACAAACTGGCCTCTGGAAGAATCCTCACTCTCTTTTTTAACTTTGGTCTGTTCTCTTCTTTTGAGACAAGCTTTTTTAAACACAAACATCTGTGACTTTGAGCAGTGTGAAGCATTGATTTATTATTGTGTGAATAAACAAATATAACCCCAGTGTTTGAAGTCCCTCAGAAAGTTAGACATGATCTTTAACAGCTCTATGTTCTGCTCTGTTCTTTTTACAACGACAGGTTTGAATCAGCTTCATTTCACACTGATAATACACACACACACACTGACAGACGCACACTTACAGAGACACAGGGACACACACACACAGACACACACACATTAACAGCACGGAGGTCACACTCCTCAGAATGACTGAAGTTCATGGGGACAGTTCTCAGATGAAAGTTTCTTTTGTTCTTCTCGAGACCAAAACATTTGTGTTTCTTTGTGCATCGCTCCAAAGATCGACAGTCGTCTGAGGATCTGACGTTGATTCACCAACAACAGATTAGAGAATCAAACTTCTCGTGGATATTGTTATATTTATGCAAAACACTTGAAACTACAACGATTACATTTGTCCACCAGGTGTGGGGTGTTTCTGGTCTGACTGATGGTGCTTGATGGTCTCAGTGCTTCACGAGGCTCCGAACACAAACATGAGTGAAAACCACTTTTAGAGGAAGGTTACATTAGTGTTGTGAACTCTGTGGCAAATTGATTGATTAGTATAATATTTATAATATATTTATTATTTTCTGTTTTTTAATCTAACCCTGAGTGGAGCGTTTCACATTAGCAGAGAGTGAGAAAAGTGTTATTTGCAATAATATATCAAATAAAAACTGCTTCTCATTTGACCTGAAGCAGGAGCTGTTTCTGCACTTCCTGAACCTCCAAGGATCATGTTATTTTTCAGACCAGTACAGTTTGTTTCAAACTCAAAATGTAGAAACTACAATTATCCTGAAAAACAGGAGTTTCCTGAACTCAGGAGCAGGAGCTGGAGGCAGTGATGAGATCTTGATCCTTGCAGTAGGAGGCGTGGCCTGCACTGCCCAGGGCCAGGACCAGGACCAGGACCAGGACCCGCTCCTGCCCCAGGTCAGGGTGCAGTGCTGGGGTCGGGCTGTAGGTCAACGGACTGAATGTGCCTCAGGACCAGCACAACACCACGAAAACACATGTGTTTTACTGTAGAGGGGGAAGGCTTCAACTGCAGGTCTCCAACCTGAGCTGCAGAGAGCTGCAGAGAGCTACAGAGAGCTACAGAGAGCTACAGAGAGCTGCAGAGAGCTACAGAGAGCTACAGAGAGCTGCAGAGAGGTCATGCTCATCAGGTCATGAGGAGCTGAGCCTTTAGGCAGGAGAGAGAAGACCCACATCTAGAAGTAAACAAGGCCTTAAAATAAATGTATTCAATGGAACGAGAGGCTTTAGTCTGTGATAATTGGATCCACGCTTCTTAAAGCACACAACTATCTATTATAATGTGACTGTGACACACTATAGTGCATTTTTCATAGTTGACATATTTCTCTATTCTAAATCCATTGGGGAGCTACTTGGAAAGAGAAGGTGAGCTACTGGTTGCTCCAGAGCTGTAGATTGGAGATCCCTGGTACAGGGCATCAAAAATATTTTAATCAACTAAAAATAACCACTTGAGTCCTTTGGCCAAAACGGTGTTTGTGGGTTCAGGCTCAGACTCAGGACTCATGGTGCGGGGGTCAGGGACAAGGTGAGGCCTGTTTCACATCTGAGCAGCTATTCACAACAGCCTCTCCGTTTACAGAACACAAACTAAACAAACTGCCATCAGGCCACAGCACGGGCACTTCTGCTGCTGGCCACCAGGGGGCCTGTCCCGGGGCACAGAGCACTCCTTATGCTCGGAGCGGAGTGGGGACAGGTGCGGTTTGTTCTGGCTCACATCCAACAGTGCTCAATGCTGCTGCAGTGCTGCTCTGACCGAGCCCAGTCCCTGAGCTCCAGAGTCCAGATGTAGGACAGAGACAGGAGCCACAAGTTCAACACCAACATAATTATTGTGGCCAAATAAAATCTAATTTTCCCAAAGTCTAAAGTGACTGTAGCGAGATGTATTTATATCGTCAACATGTTTGGGTCGCTCAGTACAGGTACCTTTGTCCTCTGCATTTGACCCATTATTCACGGTCGTTAAAGCCACTGTCAGGAGCAGTGGTGGCCGTAGTAACAGCGCTCGCGAACCCATCTCCAGATGTTGGTAATCGCCATGTACAATTTTACCTATAGTGCATGTTTTTAATGGTGGGGGAAACCGGAGTACCCGGAGGAAATCTACGCAGACACTGGGAGAACATGCAAACTCCACCCAGAAACGCAGAGCAGTCGACCAAAGATGAAACGGCTCTGACTGGAGCAGAGCAGGAGGGGCAGGGTGAGGAGTCATGATGAACATGCTGAGTCATGAGGATAAACATGCTGAGTCATGAGGATAAACATGCTGAGTCATGATGATAAACATGCTGAGTCATGAGAATAAACATGCTGAGTCATGAGAATAAACATGCTGAGTCATGAGGATAAACATGCTGAGTCATGAGGATAAACATGCTGAGTCATGAGGATAAACATGCTGAGTCATGAGGATAAACATGCTGAGTCATGAAGATAAACATGCCGAGTCATGAGGATAAACATGCTGAGTCATGAAGATAAACATGCTGAGTCATGATGATAAACATGCTGAGTCATGATGATAAACATGCTGAGTCATGAGGATAAACATGCTGAGTCATGAGGATAAACATGCCGAGTCATGAGGATAAACATGCTGAGTCATGAGGATAAACATGCCGAGTCATGATGATAAACATGTTGAGTCATGAGGATAAACACGCTGAGTCACAAAGATCAAACAAGGCTTAAAAAGTAAAATCCTTTATTTGGAAAGTCCCGACAGTTTCCACACGATCAGTAAAAGGAGTGTTCTGTAACAGTTCCAGTGTCTTACATCACAGAGTAAATATGGCTCCGTACAGTTCAGGGAGTCGCATCCTGGGGGCCGCGCACACACTGCTGCACGCGTCAGAGCTCGTCCTGCAACAAACAGAACGAACTGGGCTCAAAAGATGACTATGATAATAATAATAATAATAATAATAATGTCTCAACAGAGTAAAAACAGAAAAAAGGCAGAATACAACATCACTTTACAGGATTAAAATGTATACGTTTTATTGCAGATATGAGTTCACAGGGTTCGGACCTGGAACATCATGTGACCTTTATCTTTGTCCAAAACTATTTTCCATTTTCCTTTGTTAAGACGACTTCATTCACACCCACAAACTCAATCACCCCGAACTATTTTGGTGGTAGAGTAAACCGGAGCAAAAACTACGCAGACACAGGGAGAACATGTAAACTCCACTCAGAAATTCCCTGTTCCGACCGGGATTTGAACCCAGGACCTTCTTACCGAGAAGCGAGAATGCTAACCACTCAGCCACTGTGTCTCCTTGTAAATATAAAAAGTGCATTTCTTCTGAAGCATCATCTGAATCTCTGTTGACTATTGTTAGCTGCAGACGGGTTACATTGTGTTACAGTTAAAATAAAAAAACAGTTTGTGGGAATGAGTTTTTTCATTGTTCAAAGAAAAAGGTGAACACGGGAGTCGCGTACCTTGGATTTCCTGTTAGCGCGCGGAGTTAGCTTCTCCAGTCGCTGTCTGATGATGTCATGGATCACATGGGCCTCTCTGCTGTTGATGAACTCTCCTCCAGACACACTCTGCAACAGTCACACCAGGCATTTATGTCTCAGACTGAGGGACAGGGACCTACAGGGACCTACAGCCTCAGTCCTGGGTCTACAGCCTCAGTCCTGGGTCTACAGCCTCAGTCCTGGGTCTACAGCCTCAGTCCTGGGTCTCTACAGCCTCAGTCCTGGGTCTACAGCCTCAGTCCTGGGTCTCTACAGCCTCAGTCCTGGGTCTACAGCCTCAGTCCTGGGTCTACAGCCTCAGTCCTGGGTCTACAGCCTCAGTCCTGGGTCTACAGCCTCAGTCCTGGGTCTACAGCCTCAGTCCTGGGTCTACAGCCTCAGTCCTGGGTCTACAGCCTCAGTCCTGGGTCTACAGCCTCAGTCGTGGATCAGTTTTGGAGTCCTTCGAGATAACTACTGTTGTGATCTAAACTACACAACTGAAGTCTGGACTAAAGCCAGTCAGATCTTTCAGCCACAGCTGCCGTGACGGGTCCAAAGGGACTGGTTTATTCTGGTTCTGACCCACATCTCACAGAGGTTACTTCCTTGTGCTTCTCTGTGGGTGAGAGCTGTGTGTGTTCGTCTCACTCACCCGAGGCGCCCTCTGCTGGGGGTAGAAGCGCACTGTGGGGTATGCGTTGATGGCTGCGGCCTGGCACAGCTGCTGGTGCTGCTGACAGTCCACTTTCCCGGCCCGCACTGCCCCCTGCAGGTTCTGCACACACACAACAGGACTGAAGACCCACTGTGTCACATGGTAAGGGTCTGTTCTGATCGTCACGGAGACCACAGACCCAGATCTCATTTCACTTTCTCTATTATAACTATCATTTTCCCATTTCTCTACTGCGTTGATTTGCCGATTAGACGCTGGTTCAAGAAGTGAAGCTTATTTTATATTCTTTTGCTAATTATTATTGCAAATAGTCCAGCCTTTCATGACAAAATTAGTAAATTATAAACACATTGTATTAGGTAAGCATCGATTGTGAAGTTTTGGGCCGATACGGATGTTTAACACCAATTTTTAGTTTATTTCAAAGGGGACAATGCAATTTTATAAAACACATGATTAAAGATGAGTTAAAAAAAGATAGGCCGATGTTTTTTCTTTTTGTTATCTATATATATATATATATAAATATTTTTCGCTGTACACCGCCTCATGCTTCTCAAATGTCCAATAATGTTTGTTGTGTTAAATGATTTTCTAGCAGTGTGTGTGCGGGTGTGTATCTATGTACAGTATCTATGTAAATACACACACATAAAAAGCACAAACTAGTCTGTTGCAAACTGATATTAAAGGTGCAGAAAGTGATGTTGTTAGCTTAGCCGTAGCACCAACTGGAAACCCCTCCCCCACCCCTCCCTCTCCACCAAACCAAACATCCGGCATTTTCTTTTCTTTGTCCCAGGGAGAGTGAAGCAAACGTGAAATTGGCATTTTCTGTTCAGCCATTTTAGGTTTTAGAAAATCCGATAACTCCGGTGCACTCGCGAGAAACAGGAAGAGGGTGAAGGCGGTAAACACATCCCATTGGTTTATTTTTATCGGTCCGCTCCAAAATATTTTCTATCCATTTTCGGAGACTATAGGCCTCTGGTCGATTCCATATCTATTTGAAAAAACATGATAACTTCATAATTTAAGGGTTTAGGGACGTTTTCCCACAATATTTAAAAAAATGTGTCTGGAAAAAAAAAAAAAAATCACTGACTGCATCTTTAAAAGCCAAAGAGAAAGAGTGCGTCTGATCTGTGCTTGTGCAGAGTTCCACGGCTCTTACGCCTCAGAACAAAGATTGTGGCGGTGGAGAGGACTCACTCGGGCCACGACTTCAAACTCTGGAGCGAAGTGTTGACACGGCCCACACCACGGGGCGTAGAAGTCCAAGACCCAGTGCTGCTCTCCCTCCAGCACCAGCCTCCGGAACGAGTCTGCAGTCAGGTCTATGGAGGCGCGAGGCAGAGCGCTGTATACACACACACACACACACACACACAAATATATACACACACATTCATACACACTCAGAATGCAGCTTTAAAGATCTTATATCAGAGCAAAGGAGTATTCTGACCTGAGGGCCCAGCTCCTCAACGACTGAGAATCTCTGTGCCAGCCGCTGTACGTGCTGAAAACACATAAACACGCACACAAACATTTAAAAATAACTTAATTACAGCTGCTAAATGGTGTTCTTTCATTTACACAGACAGACCCAGGCAGAACTTTGTTTTATATTGGATCGAATGTAGGGAAGATAGAACTCAAAACAGAAAAATACTAATACACTGGTGAAAACTATGGGAAACAAGATGAAAATGTTGTTCTCCTGGTAGTGTGTTGGCCTGTCCACTAGGGGTCGCTGCTCCATGGTGTAAAACCAGCGGTGTCCAAACCAGTCCTGGAGCTGGGAGACTGCTGCTGTAAATCGTCAAGATATTTTTGTGCGTAGCGTGTGCGTAGCGTGTGCGTAGCGTGTGTGTGTGTCTACTCCATGGATGTGTTAAATAATGTGGAGGGAGTTTAGTCTCCAGTTTCCTCACAGACGTCATGGAACAAAAATGTCTTGTTCTCCGCGAACCTAGAACCTACTGCTTTCTCAACGGTCTATTGTTCTAAATACCAGGAGGACCAGAGGTGAGACCAGGAAGAGCAGAGGTAAGACCAGGAGGAGCAGAGGTAAGACCAGGAGGGGCAGAGGTAAGACCAGGAGGACCAGAGGTGAGACCAGGAGGACCAGAGGTAAGACCAGGAGGACCAGAGGTAAGACCAGGAGGGGCAGAGGTAAGACCAGGAGGACCAGAGGTGAGACCAGGAGGACCAGAGGTAAGACCAGGAGGAGCAGAGGTAAGACCAGGAGGGGCAGAGGTAAGACCAGGAGGACCAGAGGTGAGACCAGGAGGACCAGAGGTGAGACCAGGAGGACCAGAGGTGAGACCAGGAGGACCAGAGGTTAGACCAGGAGGACCAGAGGTGAGACCAGGAGGAGCGGAGGTAAGAGCAGGAGGACCAGAGGTGAGACCAGGAGGACCAGAGGTGAGACCAGGAGGACCAAGACCAGGAGGAGCAGAGGTAAGACCAGGAGGAGCAGAGGTAAGACCAGGAGGAGCAGAGGTAAGACCAGGAGGAGCAGAGGTAAGACCAGGAGGACCAGAGGTGAGACCAGGAGGACCAGAGGTAAGACCAGGAGGAGCAGAGGTAAGACCAGGAGGACCAGAGGTGAGACCAGGAGGACCAGAGGTAAGACCAGGAGGAGCAGAGGTAAGACCAGGAGGACCAGAGGTGAGACCAGGAGGACCAGAGGTGAGACCAGGAGGACCAGAGGTAAGACCAGGAGGACCAGAGGTAAGACCAGGAGGACCAGAGGTGAGACCAGGAGGACCAGAGGTTTCTAATCTGCTCCTGCAGCAACAACAGTTGGTCACAGAGCCCTCTCAGGGGTCCCCTGTACGTACCTGTGGGTGGTCCTGGGGCCCCCAGAGTAGAGGCGCAGCTCGGGGTACGCCCTCACTCCCTGACTCTGACAAAAGGTCTGGAAGCGCTGACAGTCCACAGAGCCCACCAGGATCTGACCCGAGACCAGCTGAAAGAACCATGAGTGAGACCAGAGGACAAGGACTAGAGGACCAGGACCAGAGGATCAGGCTCTTACCCGTGCCATGCGTCTCCACTCGGGCTTCAGCATCTGACATGGTCCACACCACGGAGCGAAAAAGGCTACGGCCCACACCTCGTCCTCTGACCGCCCTGCACACACACACACACACACACACACACACACACACACACGGAGAGACACACACACACACACGGTTATATGCTTCTTGGGGACGTCATGTTGAACTCTGAGACAGAGGATGAAATATAAACAGACTTTTACCTTTGACTTTCTGTGTGAAGCTTTCAGGATCCAGGACCAGCACCGCCGGCTGCACCAGGTCCTACAGAGGGACCAGGGGTTAGGGACCAGGGGTTAGGGACCAGGGGTTAGGGACCAGGGGTTAGGGACCAGGGTTAGGGACCAGGGGTTAGGGACCAGGGGTTAGGGACCAGGGGTTAGGGACCAGGGGTTAGGGACCAGGGGTTAGGGACCAGGGGTTAGGGACCAGGGGTTAGGGACCAGGGGTTAGGGACCAGGGGTTAGGGACCAGGGTTAGGACCAGTAGGACCAGGGGACCAAGGGTTAGGGACCAGAGGACCAGGTTACTACCAGCTCCAGTTTGTGGCTCATCATGAAAAAGCCACATAACAGAACGTTGTGTGGTTCACACTTTAATTACATGGTTTCATTAAACTGGCCAGTAGGGGGCGACTGAGCAGAGGTGGGACAGTTTTGCTCCCATTGAAAACCATGTAAAGTCTGTTTTGGAGTCAAAAGGCTCTCCTCCTGTGCGGTGTACGGTAGTTGGAACAGTCTGAATCGGGGACACTCAATTCTAAAGGAGCACTAACAAATATTTTTCAAAAAAAAAAAGTCTTGATTTTGGGCATTTTTGGAAAAAATAAAAGAAGAAATTGCTGCGTTTCATTGGGGTGGCCTGCAGGGGGCGCTTATCTGGGAAAGCCTTGATCCACCTCGCCCGCCTCATTCCAGTGATTTGTTCAAAGTGTCCTCCTTTATATGAGACCACAGTTGGAACATGAACAAACTCTTGTCTTTCTCTCTATTTGTGCGGTTGCTACAAGCGTACACCGCACACAAAGATGGCATTTTGACAGCTCTTCTTCTTCTACTATATCTCCGTATATAAACCCGGCAGACTGCACCGCCAGGATACGTCACGTCCTGTCCTACGTTTGTTATTCACGCCACTGCCCTGACGTCATAGAAACCCAAGAATAGACATAATATACATCTACGAGTTTCATTTTGTCCTTTTTGAAGAAAACATTTGGGATTAAAAGTTATTAGTTATTAGTTGTTTGTTGTTCTCAAAGTAATTAGATTAGTTCTTTAGTTAGCGTTTAGTGTTAGAGGTGGACAGTACCTGTATGAACTCCAGGATGCCGGCTGCAGAGTGCTGGCCTTCGTACTCGTGCACAGAGGAGCCGTTGAAGATGACGGTGGTGGGATAGGCCTGAACGTTGTACTGCACAGAGTACAACACAACAGACTTCAGACCCACACCAGACTTAGACTCAGACTACATTTCTGAACAACACAATACAGTCCACCACATCATAACTAAAACATTAGGCCTCTCTCTATATGCAGTGATACATCTAACAAACAAACTGAAGAATACTTAACATACTGTATGACAATGTATTGACAGGAAGTGATGATAGAAATGTAAATGAGAAGTTAGAGCACGTAGAGGATCCATGTCTGCAGCGTCTGGGCCTTACCCTGGAGCAGACCTGCTGATGGACCGTGCAGTCCAGGGTCCCGAACCTCATCTGTCCTGCCAGCTGGATGGAGGCCTTCCTCAGCTCAGGGAGGAGGGCCCGGCAGGGGGGGCACCACTGCAACACCACACACAGCACTTAGAGCTTTAACCAGGTCACATGGTCATCCTCTCATGTGTGTGATACAAGTGAACCAGAGCAGAACACAGGAAGCAGACCATGACAGCATTTTATCTACATATAGATGTAGAACTAAAAGGGAAGGTCTGCGTTTAGAAAAAGTTTTCAGCTTGGAAAACACATACTGTATAACACACATTTTGGACTCATACTGTACATCTAGTGTTTTCATCTGCTCTAGAAAGGGAGGTGGCATTTCAGATCCATGCAGCAAAGATCTGTAGAAATGTGAGACAGGCTTCTTCTCCGACAATGTTTAAAGGTTAAAAAACAGTTCATGGATTTGATCTTCGCTCTTTTGAATGTTCTGTGATTATTTGTGTTTAAGCACTTTTAGAGTTGTCTTGGGAATGAACTGTGCTAAACAAATAAACTTGCCTCGCCCATGCCATTTGATTTACTTTCTCCTGCTCTCATTTGAGTGTTCTTGTGCAGCATTTACATTAAATACATGGACAGTAGAATGCAGCAGAATGTGCCTCTACTGGTCAGGAACCATAACTTGTATTATAACATGTAGGTTTTTATACTTTACATGTTTAACCTGTTTCCACCTGCCCAGAACGCTCTCGAAAAACAGATTCTCAATTCTAAACCAAGTGAACATCTTTCAAACTGTCAGGAGCAACAACATATTTTTGTGGTCGTAACGAGGCTGTGAATATTTTGTAATTGTTATGTACACAGAGTACTACACTATTTGAAGTACAAGTATTTACGACTCTATCCGGGTCTATCTGACTCTATTATCACCATGTTTATAACTTTGCACTTTACATATAGACTTTTCTTAAAGCATTTACAGCTGATAAACACAGCAGCTACTTCTCCCACAGTGCTCTTACTACTGTCCTGTCTGTGCGCTGCAACAGTGAAATTTCCCCACTGTGGGACGATAAAGGATCTCTTATCTGCTTCTGTCCGGTTCAGACTCAAACAATCCAAACACATCAGAGTTTGTCTTGTAGGTGTTTCTTGATCCGCCCTGAATCCACAAAAACTACAATATGATGTTTGAAAAGTCAATATTGACTTTTAACAGAACCACTTCCTCCTGAAAGAACAACTGCTACACATGGTACACTTTCTGGTGCTTCCTATCCACCTAATATCTCCTCCTGGTCCTCTTCCTCATCTCCTCCTGCTCCTTATCTCCACCTGGTCCTCCTCATCCCCCTCATCTCCTCCTGGTCCTCCCCCTCATCTCCCACTGGTCTGGTCCTCCTCCTTCTCTTCATCTCTCCCTGGTCCTCCTCCTTTCTCTTCATCTCTCCCTGGTCCTCCTCCTTTCTCTTCATCTCTCCCTGGTCCTCCTCCTTTCTCTTCATCTCTCCCTGGTCCTCCTCCTTTCTCCATCTCTCCCTGGTCCTCCTCCTTCTCTTCATCTCTCCCTGGTCCTCCTCCTTTCTCCATCTCTCCCTGGTCCTCCTCCTTTCTCCATCTCTCCCTGGTCCTCCTCCTTTCTCCATCTCTCCCTGGTCCTCCTCCTTTCTCTTCATCTCTCCCTGGTCCTCCTCCTTCTCTTCATCTCTCCCTGGTCCTCCTCCTTCTCTTCATCTCTCCCTGGTCCTCCTCCTTCTCTTCATCTCTCCCTGGTCCTCCTCCTCCTCATCTCTCCCTGGTCCTCCTCATCTCTCCCTGGTCCTCCTCATCTCCTCCTGGTCCTCCTCCTCCTGATCTCCCCCTGGTCCTCATCATCTCCTCCTGGTCCTCTTCCTAATCTCCCCCTGGTCCTCCTCCTCTCCTCCTATCACAGTGCGTGTCCTTTAAGAGATAAGAAAATCAAAGATGGCGTCACAAACCGGGGCGAAGAAGTCGACGAGCCAGGGCTCCTTCTGATTGGTCGGGAAGGTGTCTGGCCTCAGCGTGGTCACATGGGCCCTCACGCTGTCGCGGGCGAACGCCACGATGTTGTACAACGCATCTTTACCTGCAGAAAACACGATTAAAAACACGGATCAAGGACAGAAGCAATGATATCCGCTGACCAAAGAAGCAATCATCATTCAGCCAACTTCAGCCCCAATCCACTCACTATAAAAGGTCTGAGGATTTGGTCAAATTTTAGAAAATAACCGCCCTCTCCACTTTTTTAACAAAACTCTCTGGTCTTATTGGACGAGCACGTATCACTAGAATGATTGACAAGTGGGAGGACCAATAGTCTTGATGATCCACCCAAAACCTCCAATTGCTGGGTTGCGACCACGTGACCAAAAGGGGCTTAGTATCGCTCTGATTATGAGCAAAAACTATTTTCAAAGCAGCGTAAGTTTGAATGAGTCCAATGTTTTCAACAATGAGGAAGATGAAGGCTGTTACCGTGACGACAGTGGAGTCACTCTGGGATCAACAGAACCACGTCTGAGATGATAGGTCTGATCAATAATACAATAAATGGGGCACAAATGTTACTTTTAACAACATTTGAGGCGAGAAATATGACCCTTTGTCATTTCTGTGATTTTTTGACACCTGTTAGAGAACTACATTTTAGCAAAAAAGAGACTCCATACGTTCTCACAACTCTACACGCCACAGAAAAAGAGCATTATGACTCTGAATCAGTGAATTCTGACATTGTTCTTGTCAGGATCTTACAGTAACACAAGTTTCATTCTCTGTTTTGATACATCCATCCATCCATCAAGTTAACAGCTGAGCAGAAGTTTAATCTTCCAAGGACATGGTGTTGCTACTTTGAAGAACCGGGACAATAGTGAAGCAGAAATGACTCCGCGTGGGAAGCTGCTCCATTGGCAGTGAGGAACAGAAGCACAGGTACTGATGAAGACCGGGAAGGCCCGCCCCAGGGGCAGCACCTGTATCTGTTTGTGCAGACTTGTATTAGCAGCTAAAGTAAGGAAGACACTCGGGTGAACTCTATTTGGCCCGAGGCAACTTTGATCCATAATAAATGCTGCTGCTGGATATCCATTTCCTTTGCTCTGGCTGATCGTACAGTGCTTCCAACAACAAACCTGATGAGAGGTCTCTGTTATGGACCCATGGCTCTGTGTGTTTTTATTGCTGCATTTCTGTTTTTGAATGGTTTGATTTTCTGATCTGTTCTGGAGAAATCGAGGTGACTACAGTTGTGATTTGAGGCGACACAAACATAAATTTAACGTGGTGGAGACTGACCGTGGTGGATTTCGAAGTTGTGGATGCCCATTCCTTTGAACACGGCCACGCAGGCTTTGTGGATGTACAGGGACCGGCACAGCTCGGCGTCTGCCACACACAACACTCTGCCCACCTGTAACCACACACAACACACCTGTAACAACACACAACACACCTGTAACAACACTCTGCCCACCTGTAACAACACACAACACACCTGTAACACACAACACTCTGCCCACCTGTAACCACACACAACACACCTGTAACAACACTCTGCCCACCTGTAATAACACACAAAACACATGTAACAACACTCTGCCCACCTGTAACAACACACAACACACCTGTAACACACAACACACCTCCCGTTACACACAGTGGGGGCAGGTCCCGGCTCTAATTTTTTTTGGACCAGTCTAGTTTATCCGCTGTGGACTTCAGAATGCACTGGTTAAAAGATGGGGCTCATGCAGCTTACACCTGCGCAAATGCGTTTTTTCGTGTTATCCTGCCCCGCGGCCATTTTGAAAAAACCAAAGAAGGCGAAAGTGAGGGAACATTAGTTTGAACGGCGGAGATGGGCGTGACTACGTCTGTTCATTTTGTTGACCAATTTATTAATATTTGGAGCTGAGCCAGAACAGATTATTTTACTTACAGTCTCCGACAAACTACAACCAGCAAATTCAGCACAAACTCTTGACATCACAGACACCGACCTACAACCTACAACACCCGCCTCCCCTGCTCTCTGATTGGTCGGAGGAGATACAACTAAGGAAACTGCAGCCAATAGGATCAGACCCAGACGTACATGTAGGAAATGATCATGGACCAGAGTTTACACATGGTAAGACCAGATGTACATGTAGGAAATGACCATGGACCAGAGTTTACACATGGTAAGACCAGATGTACATGTAGGAAATGATCATGGACCAGAGTTTACACATGGTAAGACCAGATGTACATGTAGGAAATGACCATGGACCAGAGTTTACACATGGTAAGACCAGATGTACATGTAGGAAATGACCATGGGCCAGAGTTTACACATGGTAAGACCAGATGTACATGTAGGAAATGACCATGGACCAGAGTTTACACATGGTAAGACCATATGTACATGTATGAAATGACCATGGACCAGAGTTTACACATGGTAAGACCAGACGTACATGTAGGAAATGACCATGGACCATAGTTTACACATAGTAAGACCAGACGTACATGTAGGAAATGACCATGGACCATAGTTTACACATGGTAAGACCAGACGTACATGTAGGAAATGACCATGGACCAGAGTTTACACATGGCTGAGGCCTGGGTAAATACAATAAAGTAAAGTAAACTCTGGAGCTGTAATTACACTCAGTCAGTGGTGGAGTTAACACTGTTGTCAGCAGGAGGCATTAACAGATGTGTGTCATCGACTTTAGCAGCAGAGAATATGAGCAGAATAAACAATAATAATAACAGCAGCAGGTAAGCAATGAAGGATGGGTCAAATGCAGAAGATTTCCCAATAAGCTCAATAAAATATCACTTAGCCTAAAATATTTGACAGTGTTTTTACAGAGCTGTATACAGGACGGGCTGGTGTTTGTGAGTTACAGTGCCTTGCGAAAGTATTCGGCCCCCTTGAACCTTTCAACATTTCGCCACATTTCAGGCTTCAAACATAAAGATATAAAAAAAAAAAATTTTGTCAAGAATCAACAACAAGTGGGACACAATCGTGAAGTGGAACTACATTTATTGGATGATTTAAACTTTTTTAACAAATAAAAAAGTGAAAAGTGGGGCGTGCAATATTATTCGGCCCCCTTGCGCTAATACTTTGTAGCGCCACCTTTTGCTGCAATTACAGCTGCAAGTTGCTTGGGGTATGTCTCTATCAGTTTTGCACATCGAGAGACTGGAATTCTTGCCCATTCTTCCTTGCAAAACCGCTCGAGCTCAGTGAGGTTGGATGGAGAGCGTTTGTGAACAGCAGTCTTCAGCTCTTTCCACAAATTCTCGATTGGATTCAGGTCTCGACTTTGACTTGGCCATTCTAACACCTGGATACGTCTATTTGTGAACCATTCCATTGTAGATTTGGCTTTATGTTTTGGATCATTGTCCTGTTGGAAGATAAATCTCCGTCCCAGTCTCAGGTCTTTTGCAGACTCCAACAGGTTTTCTTCCAGAATGGTCCTGTATTTGGCTCCATCCATCTTCCCATCAATTTTAGCCATCTTCCCTGTCCCTGCTGAAGAAAAGCAGGCCCAAAGCATGATGCTGCCACCCCCATGTTTGACAGTGGGGATGGTGTGTTCAGGGTGATGAGCTGTGTTGCTTTTACGCCAAACATATCGTTTTGCATTGTGGCCAAAAAGTTAGATTTTGGTTTCATCTGACCAGAGCACCTTCTTCCACATGTTTGGTGTGTCTCCCAGGTGGCTTGTGGCAAACTTAAAACGAGACTTTTTATGGATATCTTTGAGAAATGGCTTTCTTCTTGCCACTCTTCCATAAAGGCCAGATTTGTGCAGTGCACGACTGATTGTTGTCCTATGGACAGACTCTCCCACCTCAGCTGTAGTTATCTGCAGTTCATCCAGAGTGATCATGGGCCTCTTGGCTGCATCTCTGATCAGTCTTCTCCTTGTTTGAGATGAAAGTTTGGAGGGACGGCCGGGTCTTGGTAGATTTGCAGTGGTCTGACACTCCTTCCATTTCAATATAATTGCTTGCACAGTGCTCCTTGAGATGTTTAAAGCTTGGGAAATCTTTTTGTATCCAAATCCGGCTTCAAACTTCTCCACAACAGTATCTCGGACCTGCCTGGTGTGTTCCTTTGTCTTCATGGTTCTCTCTGCGCTTTAAACAGAACCCTGAGACTATCAAAGAGCAGGTGCATTTATACGGAGACTTGATTACACACAGGTGCATTCTATTTATCATCATCAGTCATTTAGGACAACATTGGATCATTCAAAGATCCTCACTGAACTTCTGGACTGAGTTTGCTGCACTGAAAGTAAAGGGGCCGAATAATATTGCACGCCCCACTTTTCAGTTTTTTATTTGTTAAAAAAGTTTAAATTTTCCAATACATTTTGTTCCACTTCACGATTATGTCCCACTTGTTGTTGATTCATGACAAAAAATTTAAATTTTATATCTTTATGTTTGAAGCCTGAAATGTGGCGAAATTTTGACAGGTTCAAGGGGGCCAAATACTTTCGCAAGGTACTGTACCTTATCTGTTTCTGTCACACTGTCCCAGAGCCTCCTGCTGCTAATGTTCAGATGTAAACAAACTATATAAGTCTGCACTAGAATACAACAGCCTGGAGGCTTGCCAATTTTTAGTTGGTTATATTTTCGTGTTTTGATTGACTTTAACACTGAGCCCCATCATACCTGAGAATCTTCTTATTTATCTAGTAAAATGTAATAAAATAGTATGTTTGATTAAGCTCAGTCGTTTTACTTTCAGGAGAGTGAGCACAAGTCAGTTATTTGATTTGTTGATTTTTTGTTTTAATATAAGATTTGATTTGAGTGAGTGTGTGTATGTCTGTGTGGGTGTATGGGTATGCAAGAGTTTTGTCTGTATGTTGGTTTGCTCTCACGTTCACCTTACCCCAGTCGCTATCATTATTATAAATCTGCCATGTCCAGTTGTTTCTACCTTAACTGTCACTTTCATACCATAACTTATGGGTAAAGGTCTTCATGTAATTCATCTGAATATTCGCAGTTTGCTTCCTAAAATTGATCAACTAAGAGCATGGCTTGCTTATAATAATCCTAATATAATAACATTATCTGAAACCTGGCTAAATGAAAGTATAACAGACTCAAGTGTCAATCTGGATAACTACACAATATACAGGTTAGATAGAGCATCCAGAGGAGGCGGAGTGGCCACTTACATTAACTCAAACCTTAAATCTCAGTTAATTACTCCCATTGTAAAACCGGAGCTTTTCGAAGGTCTTTTTGTTAAGATTTTTCTACATGCAAATAAACATTTAACAATTGGCAATATTTATCGCCCTCCCACATCTCCCAAGCTAGAGTCTGTTAGAAACATTTTAGCTACTGTTTCATCACTTGGGGACTCATCAGAAATTATGATATTGGGGGACTTTAATTTAGACTGGGCTGATCCTTGTGCTCTTACGGAATGTAACCTTTTCAATAGTTCAAATCTCACACAAATTATTAAAGAGCCAACAAGAGTTAGTCCTAGCTGCAAATCTCTTCTTGATTGGATACTAGTCACACACCCCAATAGAATATTTAAATCTGGTGTTCTCTCTGATTGTTTTAGCGACCACTCTATTATATATTGCATATGGAAAATCTCAACTCCCCATCTTCCTCCTAAATATATCAGGATTCGTGATATGAAAACATTTAATTGTGATGTATTTGTAGAGGATTAATTGGAACAGAATTGGCCTAATTCCTGATGTGGAGGCTGCCTGGAATTTCTTTTATAATGAATTTGCCCAAATTATTGATAATCATGCCCCATGGACAACAATTAAGGTTAAAGGCCATCACCTTCCATGGGTAAACGGGGAGCTAATCAGTCAGTTCAAACAGAGGGATAGGGCTTGGAAAAAACACAAACATACAAAACTCCTGAGTGATTGGGAGGAATACAAACATCTACGCAACATGTGCACTACTCAAACAAGAAATGCTAAGGCCAACTACTACAGAAATAGCTTATCAAGAGATACTAAGAACCCTAAACAATTTTGGAAAAAAATGAACACACTACTTGGTAAATCCAACAGTATCACGAGTAACATGACAGTCAATAATGAAATTACTAATGATCCAGCCATGATTTCTGATGCTTTTAGTTTGCACTTCTCCCAAACACCGCAGGTTCAGTCATCACCTTCTCACTCAGACCTGACTCTAACCACGCCATCCTGTGAACGTCTTTTCATCTTCAAACAGGTTAGTGCAGCTGATGTCCAGCAGGCCATTAGCACGCTATCCTCAAGCAGCGGACCTGGGCCTGATGGCATTGAGGCTAAGTTTATTAAACTCAGCTCACATGTACTAGCTTCGCCATTGGCTGAACTTTTTAATCTTTCATTTTTAACTTGTGAGGTTCCTCTGGCATGGAAATGTACAAAAGTTATTCTATTGCATAAAGGAGGTGACACCCAAAACATGAATAACTACAGACCTATTTCAATCATTAATAGTACTGTCAAAATATTTGAGAAAATCATTTTTGTTCAATTATCTAACTATCTTTCCCAAAATAATATATTGTCTCAGTGCCAATCAGGCTTCAGGAAAAATGTCTCAACTACCACTGCTCTTCTGAAATTTACAAACAATATATTTTCTGGTTTTGACAATAGTATGTGCACTGGCGCCATCTTCTTAGATCTCACAAAAGCATTTGATTTGGTTGATCATTACCTGCTTCTTGATAAACTCCACTCAATTGGCCTTTCACGCTCATCTCTGCTTTGGTTTAACTCTTATTTTCATCAACGTCGTCAATGTGTGTCCTTTAGGGGCAGTCAGTCGAGTTTCACAGGTGTTAATAAAGGTGTACCGCAAGGATCCGCACTTGGACCTTTGCTTTTTTCCATTTATATTAATGATTTGCCTCTTAGCTGCTCAGAAAGCAATATTCATCTCTATGCCGATGACACAATTATTTACTGTTCCAAACCGTGTATTCCCAACATAAATGATTGCTTGCAACATGACTTTGATTCCGTTCAGTTGTGGCTGTCATCTAATAAATTACTGCTTAACAAATCAAAATCTTACTCCATGCTCTTTCAGAAGAGGGAATAATAAAACTCTCAATCTTCAGTTTACGGACTCTTCTCCTTTGGAGCCAAGAGAGAAATTTAAGTACCTTGGAGTTTGGCTGGAAACTGATCTTTCATTTAAAACTCACATACAAACACTCACTAACAAACTTAACTACCGCCTTAAAACATATCATTCTATAGACTGCTTTAATTTTCAGGTAAGGAAAAGAATAGTGACTCAGTTGTTGCTTCCCATTCTAGATTATGCAGATATTATTTATTCAAACACTACTGCTTCTTGCCTTCATTCTCTTGATGTGGTCTACAACAGTCTGTGCAGATTTGTTCTTCGCTGCCCCTACAGGACACATCATTGTACAATGTATGAACAGCTGTCATGGCTTACACCCTCAGGTAGAAGACAATTTCACTGGCTTCAACTTATATTCAAATGTATTCATTTCCAATATCCTTATTATTTATCCCAATATTTAGTGCCTTATAGGTCACAGTATAGTCTTCGTCATAATGAACATCTCTTCTTCACTGTCCCAAGAATAAGGAGAGTAATTGGAAATTTTGCTTTCTGTGTTCGGGCGCCTCGTGACTGGAACAACCTTCCAGCTTCCATTCGGTCCCTCACATCCTTTCCTCTTTTCCGAACAGCTCTGTTGACTCATCTTAAGAACATTTGTCTTTGTTTGTAAACATCTCATATATAGTTTAAAGATGTAATTTATGTATACGTGTATGGTATACATAAATATGCTATCTATTTATATGTGTATGCTCTTAGATATATGTATTTAAGACTATGTTTTTTTATGTATGTGTGCGGATATGTATGTTTACATATGTGTATATGTGTGTGTAGGTGTATCTGTTTACATGCATATCTGTTTATATGCATAGAGGTATGAATATATACACATTAAATGTTAACTACTTTATTTTCGACAATCTGTCTGTAAAGAGGGGGAGTGAATAGTGAGAGTCTGTGTGTGTGTGTGTGTGCGTGTCTGTGTGGTTTGAATGGTGTGTGTGTATGTGTGTTAAAGGCACACCGCGGACTTTGTGACCTAAAGAGTTGACACATATGAGTTATTTTATATGAATACTTGGGCCAATATACAGCGCTTGACACTTGCAATGCTCCGAGCGGGGCTGCCCTCTTGAAATACCGCCCATGTAACTTTCGAGCAGACGGACCGTCTGCCACCAGGTCACGTGACTTGGAAGAAAGACTTGCTTTACGGCTACAGGCGCTGATATACTCATGGAGCTAAGGCTTTTGCTACTCATTTTTCACCTGCTCGACTCCTGGTCATGGCTGAGGCAAGGAAAAATTTTAAACCTTCGGAGGAGGCTAAAAAGAGGAAACGCGAAAGGGATCGTGCTGTAAGCTGCATGTCTGTATGAGCGCTGCTGTTCACCTGGTTCCTGGATGTCATCGACTGCAAAGATGTCATTCCACGCAGCACGAGCTAGACGCAGAACTCCCTCGTCCAGGATATAGAAGTCCATGTGTGGTAGATTACTAATGCAGCGGTCTGGAGGCTGACCACAGCAGAGTCTCTCAATATCTGTAGGCATGTCTCTACAGTTTGAACACACACACCAGTGCATGCTGTCTCAATACACACTCAAAAGACACCGGCTGACTGTTGACTTTTGCGACAGTGCTGAGTTGCTTGTGGCCACTAGGGGCGCTAAACGTGAAAGTTGCAGGTCTAGCGCCCCTAGTGGCCAAGAGTTACACGGTGTGCCTTTAAGTATTTGTTGTATTATTATTATGTATATATATTTTTGTTTGTTTTTGTTTGTTTTATTTTACTGTTTCTACTCTGCTGTTCTATGTTCTTTGTAATTGATCATGAGGACCCCCCACGAAAACGAGATGATACATCTCATGGGGTTTATCCTCCGATAAAATGTCTATAAATAAATAAATAAATACACAGGACATTATACTTGCTCCTTATTATGCTAAAGTCAGAGAATTTATACTTAATTCTTGCTTTCTCATTCTGCTAAAGTTGCAAATGTCATTGTATTTTAGCATAATTGTTTATCTAGATTTATTAGAGTTATTGTTTATCTTGTGCTACTCATTTCCACTGTTCTGTCCGTGGCGATGCAACACTGACATTTCCCCACTGTAGGACGACCATAAAGAATCTCTTAATCCTAGTTTCCAACAGAATTTAGAGGCAAAAACAGAGACAGCCCTGGCCATGACCACAGTGTGTGAGGATTTCTCTGAGAAGTTTGAAAGCAGAGGATTTAGACCGACGGGGCTGGGAAACATATTTGCTCAAAACGACTCCAGGTCCGTCTTTGATGAATGGTTAAAGGGGTCAAAAAGACTGCAGAATATGTCCCTTTATCCCTTTTGGGCCTTGTTCATGTGCGGTGAGACTGGCACCTGGATGTGGTCGTTCCGGAGCAGAGCTTGCAGCTTCTTGTATTCATTCATAGATGTGTCATTTTCACCAAAAGAAAAGCTGACGAGCCATCGGTGCCGAGCCACTTTACTCTGAAACAAGAAAGATGAAGTCCAGCATAAAAAACACAAATAATCAAAGCATTTCAGATGAGCATTAAGCTCTGCGGTAATGGCACATATTGTTGACTGCGTCTGAAGACCTGACCGTACAACTTTTGTGTCCATCGTTGTGCTTTAGACCATTAGCAACAACACAATTTTCCATAGTTTTAAGTTTTCAGTTCAGATTGGTCCGTTACCTGGAAGTTGTGGGCACTGAGAAGCTCCAGGTCAGGCAGGTGCTGGAGGACCTGCTGGTAGATCTCTCTGCTGTCCAGGGTGTGCAGCCACTGTGACACACACACACACACAAATACAATAAACTATAACTGCAAATGTGTAGTAGTAGTAAGTAAGCTTTATTTATATACCGCCTTTCACAGACCAGAGTCACAAAGCGGTTTACAATTGTTATTTTTTTTTGGGCACTTGCCCTCTCACTCCACACAGAGGTTGCCGAACAGGAGTCGCATGCCAGACCTATTGTACATATTTTTAGTGGTAGGGGAAACCGGAGTACCCGGAGGAAACCTACGCAGGCACAGGGAGAACATGCAAACTCCACTCAGAAAGGCCCTGGTCCGGCCGGGATTCGAACCCAGGACCTTCTTGCTGAGAGGCGAGAGTGCTATCCACTCAGCCACCGTGCCGCCCGTGTACTCTGAAACCTGAACTCCGGCCATCCTTCATCATCAGGTATCTAAAGTATGCAATTTAAAATGTGGTGTTCCCCAAGGCAGTATTTTAGGCCCAACCATTTCCTGCCTTTACATACTTCACACCGCTATGGCCAGATACAGTATTTCTGCTGTATTTCTGGGAAGCAGCTCTGTGCAAAAACTGGTTGATTGTTTGAAGGAGGTTCAGAAATTGGATGCAATCTAACTTTGAATGTTCGAACGAAGAAAAACATTGTTACTTTTGAGACCTCTGACCCTTTCTTAAATGACCTCTAATGGGTTATGAAAAGCCTGCCTGGACCGAGAGAGGACAGAGAGAGGACATGGACGCACCAGGACGCTGCCTTCTTGGTCCAGAGAGCTTCCTGGAGGGAACAAGGCGGTGGCTCCACTGCTCACCTAAAACAGACACTATGAGAAAGCTGCCACAGACACACAGGTACAGTCACACACAGGTACAGTCACACACAGGTACAGTCACACACAGGTACAGTCACACACAGGTACAGACGCACACGTAGGTACAGTCGCACACGTAGGTACAGTCGCACACGTAGGTACAGTCGCACACGTAGGTACAGTCGCACAGGTAGTCACACACACATACAGTCACACACAGGTACAGTCACACACACATATACACTTGTACACATACAGTCAGTCACACACACAGGTACAGTCACACACAGGTACAGACACACACAGGTACAGTCGCACACAGGTACAGTCACACACAGGTACAGTCACACACAGGTACAGACACACACAGGTACAGTCACACACCCAGGTACAGTCACACACAGGTACAGACACACACAGGTACAGTCACACACAGGTACAGTCACACACAGGTACAGTCACACACAGGTACAGTCGCACACATAGGTACAGTCGCACAGGTAGTCACACACACATACAGTCACACACAGGTACAGTCACACACACATATACACTTGTACACATACAGTCAGTCACACACACAGGTACAGTCACACACAGGTACAGACACACACAGGTACAGTCGCACACAGGTACAGACACACACAGGTACAGTCGCACACAGGTACAGTCGCACACAGGTACAGACGCACACAGGTACAGACACACACAGGTACAGTCACACACAGGTACAGTCACACACAGGTACAGACACACACAAGTACAGTCACACACACAGGTACAGTCACACACAGGTACAGTCACACACAGGTACAGTCTGATGTATACTGAGACAGGAGTGTCGTCATATAAACAGTGAGTGTTAAGAACCTGGAAGCTCTCGCAGAGCTGCTCCTGGTGCACACAGTCGAGCCATCCCACCTTCACCAGGCCGTCCTGCAGCAGACACAGCAGTCAGCACCCCAGTCCCCCCCTAACACCGAAGATCCGCCCCGAAGGCCCAGCCCGGACCCCCGAGACCCATCGTTTCCCCCAACACCCAGCCCCCTAATCCGTGGTGTCTCCATTCTTTTATCTAATCCCGATGTGACACAAACACATGGATGACTTTAGCAGAAACTATTTTAAATGGTTTATTTATTAAAAGAAACTACATAATTATTCCTGTATTTCTCATATCAAAACATTTGAAGCTTCTTTGCCTTTCTAGTAAATGAGCGAAGAGAAACCATTTAAATTGTTGCTCCTCAACGTCAGTGTGAGCAGCTCCTCAAAAAGATTCGGTAAAAGGTAAATACGTAATTATCAGAGTTTGAGATTGAATGAAAGCCCCACCCCCTCCATACACGTAGCCCCGCCCCCTCACACCCAGCCCTGTATGGAGAGCCGTTTCCTGTACAGTCACACAGACAGTCAGATCCGTCTGGACGCCGCACTCACCAACATGCTGGCCAGCTTCTGCCGGCTCCGGGGCTCCAGGCAGTCTGTCACAGAGAGAGGAGCTCAGTGCACTGCAGGGGTCCAACTCACTTTGATCAAGGGCAAGTTTAAAAACATAAGAACTGGTTGGGGTCAAAGTATGAAATAGATAATGATAATAAAAGTATATTATTTTTGTCTATTAACTCGCGCTTATGTACGAGTGTGTTCGGTTCAGTTGTAACATGGTTAAAAGAATCTTTAGAATCAAATCAAAGGCAGATCTAATACTAAAGTCAGGCTGTAACTAAGGATTATGATTAATTACTGAGATAGTTGATTATTGAGAAAAATCTTTATCGGCAGGTTCCCTACAGGGATCGATAAAATGCACATTTACATTTTATCTTATTTGTTTAGAAGTTGTGATGAATGGTTAAATAAAACCCTAACTCTAAGTATGAGTGAGAGCTTAGTCTGGTACCTCCAGTTTCTGCACAAAAGGTGATGAGCCAACCGACGCCTTCAGAGAACGCCGTCTCGATCTCACTGAAGACATTTCCTAAAGACAGTGAGCAGAGGAACTATTACTACTCAAAATGTGAAGCTAGAATGACCTTATGGACATGGTTCCCCGACCACTAAAACATGTACAACTACAAATAAATACATTAGGGCTGAAACACTGGATCATACTGTGAGCTGGGGTACGCTCAGGCCGTTGGGAACCACTGGCCCAAAACGTGAGTAACATGTCGTACTATGATAACCCTAACCCAATGTTTTTATTTTTATATAAAAGAACTCTTGACATAAATGCACCTTTGGTTTTGGAAATACATCTGTGTGGTTCTTTTGTTTTAGCCTGAGAAGATTGTTTTCAGAACAAGACGACAGTTCAGGGACAAACAAACCGTGATCAGGCCTTGGTCCAGCACAAAACTGCTTCACAGTCTTTGTTTAGTTTTAAAATGTATCCCATGATCCCTCGCTGCTCCTCACTGGGCTCGAGTGGCATTGAACCATGGACACTTTTATCAAATGGACTAAGAAATGTGGACTTCTAACATTGAAAAAGAGAAATTTGAAAGCTTAAAATATCCAACAATATCTTAATCATTTGTAATATTTTCTAAAAATTAAATTCTCTGTGAAAAAAATAAAAAAAATAATCCACTCTCAGCCCTTAAAGTCAAATAAATACTCACAGGGATCTTTCTGAAGTTTGCAAAATAAAAAAAAAGACGCCTGTGGTTTGCTCTGTTTGATTTGTTCATAACATTTTAGTTTAGAAAAAACCAACAGGCATTATTAATGTAGGACATGTAGTACCACAGCTTTACTTTAGTGAGTTTTATTTTGGTTTTTGGAGGAGACACGAGGGAGAAATGGACACTCTGCTGTCATTCCAAAGCAGCCACAGCTGCCCCGGGGCAGAACACTGCCGGAGGATGCAGAATCATGTACGAACAGCAAACTACAGCGAGTGCCCCGCGGTCACAAACTTCACAGAAATAATCCAAGAATCCTTGGAAAACGGGTCCAATGCAGAGAATACAGAGACGATGGGAGGAGGTGGAATCAAACCCAAAACAAATAGTTCAATCCTGTTTTTGGGAACATGTAATACCAAACTGAGGAAGGGTAGATTCAAAGAAACAACATTTCCAGAGAAACAGAAGACAGGGTCTTGGGCTTTTAGCCTTAAATGAGACTCACCGTGCCACAGCTGGTGCACGGTGGCGGTGATGAACTGCATGGAGACGCGCACGAGGCTGTCCTTGGAGCGCTCACCACTGAACTTCTCTGGCGGCTGCAGGACAAGAGCAACACAGACTTTCTCTCATGAATGTGAAATACCATCTTCAAAAGGTAATTAGGGGATTGAAAATCTGTAGAAAGACCTGAAAACTGCTGTTCACAAACTCTCAGCCTAATTTGACAGAGCTCGAGTTGTTTTGTGAAGAGGACTTGGAAACACCTTTGGTCTTGCTGCCGTTATCTCATAATGTATGAACACTATGAACACTAGATATATACTGTCCAGTAGAAACAGAAACACATCCATCCATACAAACAAAACAATTATATAGATTGTTCTAAAAGTAGCTAACGATATAATATTTGTAATAAAACACAACAGTCCTTCAGGTCACAGCAGCAGAGGTGGAGCCGCTTGGTTCGGACCATTTTCTCTGCTCTGGTCCAAAGTAAAATGCCATTTTCAAAAAATGATCATTCCTCCAGTGGATTTCTGCTCGATCCGCTGGGTTCAGTCGATGAATCCTCTCTGGTCTGGACCAGTGTAAAACCATGAACACTGTACCACAGTAACATCTCAGGGAGAAAAAAAAAATCAAGAAAAATAACAGTTGTAAAACACAAAACTAGAACTGTTTCAGAGACACTTGGGACTTGCTGCCGTTTCCAGCGCATTTTAAGTAAACATGTGCAGGATGAACATTATACATTGATTATACATTATGAGATATCAGCAGCAGGTCTCTTTGGGCATGACTCTAAGATTTGCACATCTAGAGACAAAAAGATGTTCCAATACGTCTTCACAAAACAACTCAAGCTCGGTCATATTGGGTGGTAAACATGACAAAGAAGGCACAAGTGCCAGGTGTACGTTCAAAGACACTGTATGTGTGTGTGCAGGGGGCTCCAGGGGGTCCTCGGCTCGTACCTGGCCTGCTCGGTACAGGTACAGGCTGGGGTAGCTGCTGACCCCTCTCCTCCGGCACAGCTGATGGTTGTCTCCACAGTTCACGGCTCCGATCCGGATCACGCCGTCCATCTCTTTGGCCACTTCCCTCCACTAAGACACACACACAGAAATAATCCCTGTACATTATAAAGAGTGAAGATAAAATCCTTCAGTTGTTGCAGAAACCAAACTGTTTTAACCTGGATTTGAACATTGTCAGAGCAGAAGCCTGACAGTGTTCAACCTGAAAACCTGAGCCAGCGTATCTTCATGGACAGTTACCGTAGGAGCCAGCTGGTGACAGTGGGAGCAGCGTGGGGAGTAGAAGTTGATAAACCAGACTTCACCAGAGTTCACGGCCGCTTCTGAAAGACACAAAAGCAGAGGTTAATGTTGGTGCAGGGTTAGACCAGACCAGACTAGACCAGGCGAGGAAAGACAAAGGCAACATCTGACTGCTTTTGATGTGAGCCGTCAGAACAGTGTGTAGGAGCTAGTGTTCTCTGGAGATGTGTGGGGGTGGTAACATGAGCTCGAGAGCCAATATGTTACCATGGCATTTACTGATGATGATCAGCACCAATATAAATATATGTGCAATAAAACCTGGCTTAGGGAAAGTGAAAGTGTAAATTAAGATGGAAATAAAGCCCTCTATTCAGAAACTCTCTAGTTTTTGGTCAGATTTAGAGTATTGTGTGTCTGTATAAAGCACAGTACATGACACACATACAATATATATATATATATATATATATATACACACAGACATATACGTATATAACGCATAACGTTATCACCTTCACATCTTCACATACAGATGGAAAACTCACCGAAGTCTCCACTGTCCAGAGTGATGATCTCCAGGTCGTCATCGTAGATACCTGCACACACACACACACACACACACACACACACACACACACACAAACACGCACACACACACACAAACACACACACAAACACGCACACACACAAACACACACACAAATACGCACACACACACACACACAGTTAAGATGAATGAACTACTTACAGACATGACCTTGATAAAAAAAGACCTTCTTAAAGTCTAACATGGAGCTGTGTCGTTTCTATCCAAATATCCATGAGCTTTAAACTAAATCTGAACTTATTGAGGCTTTGTCGTTTTGGCTCCAATCAGTGATGGAAAAACCAAAACCGTTTAAACGCTGTGTAAAGATGAGAACACAACCATCAGCTGAAGATACTGACTCCTGTTCTTAGGTTGCACATAATCATCGTAATAACAGTCATGAACATGCAGCAGAGTTGGGCACGGACCAAAGTCGTATCTGTAGTAGTTCCAGCTCTCGTAGCGGCCGCCCTGCTGCTCGTCCAGACCCTTCTCTCCGTACTTGTCGTACTTCTTCCTCAGATCCTCGTCCTTCAGAACCTCGTAGGCCCGGTTCACCTTCAGGAACTTCTCATGAGCCGTCGCGTCTCCCTGGTGGTTTACATTTAGAGTTTATTTAGTCCGTACCACATTAAAGAGCTTTCAGTGGAGTAAAAAAATTGAACGAGGAACTTGTGTCAAAGAATACTCGAGCAAAAAAAAAAAAAGTACAAAGTCATTATTTTTGATAAATATGTTTGTGAAGCATGGTAAAAACTTCCAAGCGCCTGGTTGCAAATGGTAAAGGAAGATATTATTTATCTTGTAAAATCAGAGTTGTAAGTAGAGGTGGGATTACACACGTTTTATTTTACTTCTTCCCACCCCTGTTTTGGACATGATTGTTTATTTTGCATAATCAATGGACAATTTTCTCATCTCACGCCTATCTCCACCACTTTTGACTACTGTGGGCTTTTTCAACATGGCCGTGAGGCAGGAAAATGTAAAAAGATGTATTTAACGAGTGCATTTTGAAGTCCACCGCGGCTAAACTAGACTGGTCCAAAAATATAATAATCCTCCCCTCAGCATCGACAGCATTTGGACCCAAGAGCCACTGTTGGACCAAGAGCCACTGTTGGACCAAGAGCCACTGTTGGACCAAGAGCCACTGTTGGACCAAGAGCCACTGTTGGACCAAGAGCCACTGTTGGACCAAGAGCCACTGTTGGACCAAGAGCCACTGTTGGACCAAGAGCCACTGTTGGACCAAGAGCCACTGTTGGACCAAGAGCCACTGTTGGACCAAGAGCCACTGTTGGACCAAGAGCCACTGTTGGACCAAGAGCCACTGTTGGAGAGAGATTGCAGAATGTCAGCGCACGTGCTCTTGGACCTTTTGGAGCCGGTGTTCTGTCGAGTTGGTCTGCCCGTCGAGATGATCTCCCTCAGCTGTTAATGATGTAATGCAAACCAGCGCTGCGCGTCTCACGGCAGCCGAAGCAATCCAAGATGGCGGACATGTAGTCCGCGAATTGCTTTAAAAGTTAAATACGAACGAGTTAAGACACGAATGTCACTTTTAATGCAACTTGAGGCGAGATGTTGATGGTTCCGGGTTGTGATATGTGTGTTTTAAGAGTAAGAGTTTTGTGTAAAGTTTGTTTTAAGCAGTCCACTGCTCCTGTGAAACTACACTGCTGCTGTGTGATCGCAGTCCCTGAGTTGACTGCTGCATACGTCAGGCCCATGACGCGTCCTGTGACTGGTCTGTCGGGTTGATAATGGAAATAATAAATTAAATTTTATGCATGTATCATACTGTATTCAAAATGATTAACAATAGTGTGTTCAAACAAAATATTTAATTAGATCGAGTTTTTTCCCCATTCTGGCGGGTTTGTGCGCATGCGCAAATCAGATTTGGGCACACTAGCAGTGTAGTTTCACAGGAGCAGTGGACTGCTTAAAACAAACTTTACACGAAACTCTTACTCTTAAAACACACATATCACAACGCGGAACCATCAACATCTCGCCTCAAGTTGCATTAAAAGTGACATTCGTGTCTTAATTTGTTCATATTTAACTTTTAAAGTAATTCGAGGACTACATGTCCGCCATCTTGGATTGCTTCGGCTGCCGTGAGACGCACAGCGCAGGTTTGCATTACATCATTAACAGCTGAGGGAGATCATCTCGACGGGCAGACCAACTCGACAGAACACCGGGACCCGCCCTTAACAGGAGGGTTACTTTACATGCTGCACAGAAGGGTCATGTGCCATTGTTCTTTTGTTCTGTTGGTTCCTCAGTTCCTGTATGAATATGATTAAAGGTGTGTCCTCTTTTCCTGTGAAACTTATCTGCTTATCTTGCTCTGGGTCAGCCTTGCTCTGGATGAGGCTGTGCTAAACACTGTCCTCTGATAGACATGTCTCCTTGGAAAGATAACCAAGTAAAAAAGAAATTCTGAACTTATGTTTGTCTGCGAGCTTTTTTTCCTGGTTTAACTGTAGTTTAGAATCAGCGTTCACAGATTAGCAGCTCACTCATAAACTCACTCTCTAAAAAGACAAGACTCAGATTAGATCCAAAAAGTCAGACTGAAGTTGCACTGAGCACGAGCGGCTGAAATCTGACCTCAGATCTGTGCTGAGGGTTTCACCACAGAGCCACACGACTTAGAATCTGATCTATACTGGAAATGGGCAGCTAGAAAACTGAAGCAGACGCAAACCTCAGACATGAGGAGGAGAGAGGAGCAGTGAGGAGCAGAGAGGAGCAGAGGAGAGAGGAGCAGTGAGGAGCAGAGGAGAGAGGAGCAGTGAGGAGCAGAGAGGAGCAGAGAGGAGAGAGGAGCAGAGAGGAGCAGAGAGGAGAGAGGAGCAGAGAGGAGCAGAGAGGAGAGAGGAGCAGTGAGGAGCAGAGAGGAGCAGAGAGGAGAGAGAAGCAGTGAGGAGCAGAGAGGAGCAGAGAGGAGAGAGGAGCAGTGAGGAGCAGAGAGGAGCAGAGAGGAGAGAGGAGCAGTGAGGAGCAGAGAGGAGCAGAGAGGAGCAGAGAGGAGCAGAGAGGAGCAGAGAGAGAGGAGCAGAGAGGAGCAGAGAGGAGAGAGGAGCAGTGAGGAGCAGAGAGGAGCAGAGAGGAGAGAGGAGCAGTGAGGAGCAGAGAGGAGCAGTGAGGAGCAGAGAGGAGCAGAGAGGAGAGAGGAGCAGTGAGGAGCAGTGAGGAGCAGAGAGGAGCAGAGAGGAGCAGAGAGGAGAGAGGAGCAGTGAGGAGCAGAGAGGAGAGAGGAGCAGTGAGGAGCAGAGAGGAGCAGAGAGAGGAGCAGTGAGGAGCAGAGAGGAGAGAGGAGCAGAGAGGAGAGAGGAGCAGTGAGGAGCAGAGAGGAGCAGAGAGAGGAGCAGTGAGGAGCAGAGAGGAGAGAGGAGCAGAGAGGAGCAGAGAGGAGCAGTGAGGAGCAGAGAGAGGAGCAGTGAGGAGCAGAGAGGAGCAGTGAATTATTATCATCTAAATATTTCCTAATATTTAGATGATAATATTCCTAAATTCCTAATGAAATGACAACAAATCTTCCTTCTGCATCTAAAATGCTTGAAAAGATTTTGGTGCCGTGTGTTGAGTGAAAGGAAACATATCTGTGGTTGTGTGGTGTGTTGTGGTGTGTTGTGGTGCAGTGTGGTGCAGTGTGTTGCAGTGTGTTGCAGTGTGACTGACCGGGTTCTTGTCCGGGTGCATGGTCAGGGCCAGCTGTTTGAAGGCCCGGCGGATCTCTTTGGTGTTGGCCGAGCGGCTCACCCCCAGCAGAGTGTAGTAGTCCCGCTCCTCGGCCTTCGTTCCCAGCAGCAGCAGCAGCGCCACCCAGAGGAGGCACAGGGGGCCACAAGGGGACCGCGAACCCATGACTCCAGAGCAGCAGGGACCCTGACACACACAGAACAGACATCAGGCACAGACAGCTCCCCCTGCTGGTCAAAGGACTGTGCACTGTATGTGGAGCTGGTCCCAGGGATCCAAGTCTGCTCTGGGGCCTCTCCAAATAGATAAACGTGCATTCAAAATACATGATAGGAAATCCACACAATCTGAACTAAACCTTGAAAATCTATGTTTGTTAATAATAATGTGTGTTTACTTTTTAAAATTGTAAATGGTCTTACAGCCCCGCCCCTCAGGAAACATGTGACCGTGGGCTCCGGAAAAATGACATTCGTCCCAACATGTGGACCTCTCTCAGTGTCTGTGTGTTTATTATATGAATGTATAGAGCGATAGTGAAGAATGGGGCTGTGTGGTTTTATTATAACTTGTGGTAAATTAAATAGTCATTTCTGATTGATAATGTCATGTCCATCTACTTTTATTTTTGCTGTTTTACAACCACCTGCTCAGGGACCACAGCTGTAACCTGGTGCAATGTTTCTCTCCTTTTGGCTAATGTTTGTTGTACGCCGTCCCTGTAAAAATAAAAACCAAACCAAACTGCTCCTTTTTCAAAGTCCTCACAGAATGAGATCCACAATGTGAGTCAGAGGGAGCGTGTGGAGTCAGAGCGTGTGGAGTCAGAGCGTGTGGAGTCAGAGCGTGTGGAGTCTGAAGAAGCAAGAGTTTAATTTATTCATCTACAGTTTGTTCTATATATATTTATTCTTCATGTTTGTGTACGATGTAGATTTCTTTATAACCTGACTAAATGAGTCTGACAGCAGAGGCATGTGACCATCTGGACCCCTTCAGACCAGGTCTACACTGAGACCCTGTCATTAGACCGACTGTAAAACCTTAAGTCTCCATTTGTCCTTCATCAAATACTTCTCATAAAACACACGATAAACAGAAGGATGAAGACTATACAAGTCGATTATCAGACGACCTTAGGTCAAGCATTTATATTATTCTGATGATAATCACAATATTTACATTAGATTCAAAAGAAATGATATTGTACAAACTTGAGACGAACCGTTTCTAAAACAAAAGGCTCAGCAAGATCAGTCCAAACTGGAACTACTTTTAAAGATACTTTTATCAGGAAAACATTTGTATGTGTTTGATGATTTGTTAAGTCAGTGGACAGCACTAACCCATCTCTGCTCCAGCTTCATTTCATTACGAACTGAATTGCTTTGATCAGAAAATCTTGTGATCAAGATTGAGATTTAAAAGATGAGCCACAGGTGTTATACAGGATCAAAGCAGCAGGAGCAACTTCACTGGTCAACTATGGCTAACCCGGCCTTACAACACTGGAATCTCACAACAGCATTTGTCAATTCAGACTTCTACTTCAAACGTGTCAAGCATTTTAGCACATTCTATTCAACTTAATTAAATATGTTTTTGTATCACAGGTTGACAAAGTCCATAAATGTTGCTGAATGTAGAGTGTCCTGGATCACCACTGTCCTTAGACCCTCCTGCATCTGCAAAGAACAACTCTAAAAACCAGGTGGGATAAATGAGATTGAGGATCTACATCACACACTTGTCTGTACCTGGTCAGACGAGGAAGTACTTTTCCCAGAGCAGGTGCTAAACAAGTCCCCAAAGTCTGGCACTGGAGCTACTTATCTCAGGACCATGAATGTGAATGTGAGCTACTCTGGAACCGTGAAATGAAACAATGTAAGATAATATTTAGTGTATGCACTTTGTATGACTGTCAAAGCAATAGCCGGGCAGCTCTAGTTCTTCTCAACTCAATAAAACACATTTTTAAGAGTTAATAATGCAGTTTAGGGATGGTGTGATGAGAATGTAGGGCTGAATGACACGTGTGCCTAAAATTACAATTCCAAACTGTCTGAAGGTCTGAGACGTGGATTGTGATCGTCTATGACCTTTTATACAAACATTTCCCACGTCCTGCTTTTGACAACTTCAAACACATTGAAGGCATTGAATCCATGTTGAATCCATGTTGAACACATTCAACATGGATTCAATGCCACAATCTTCTGTGTGTGATGTTCTTTTCCTTTTCTACTTTAAAACTTTAACATCCAAACAATACAGTTGTTATGCTTCAGCCCAATGTGAACATGTAGGATCTCTTAATGTTAATCTGAAACATCTGATCTCTGCGACATGTCTCTGTGTGGTCCAGGGGAGACACGTCTCTGTGTGGTCCAGGGGAGACATGTCTCTGTGTGGTCCAGGGGAGACACGTCTCTGTGTGGTCCAGAGGAGACACGTCTCTGTGTGGTCCAGGGGAGACATGTCTCTGTGTGGTCCAGGGGAGACATGTCTCTGTGTGGTCCAGGGGAGACATGTCTCTGTGTGGTCCAGGGGAGACATGTCTCTGTGTGGTCCAGGGGAGACATGTCTCTGTGTGGTCCAGGGGAGACATGTCTCTGTGTGGTCCAGGGGAGACACGTCTCTGTGTGGTCCAGGGGAGACACGTCTCTGTGTGGTCCAGGGGAGACACGTCTCTGTGTGGTCAAGGGGGAGACACGTCTCTGTGTGGTCCAGAGGAGACACGTCTCTGTGTGGTCCAGAGGAGACATGTCTCTGTGTGGTCCAGAGGAGACATGTCTCTGTGTGGTCAAGGGGGAGACACGTCTCTGTGTGGTCCAGGGGAGACACGTCTCTGTGTGGTCCAGGGGAGGACAGTGTGAGCGGTGTTACCTGAGGAGCAGCCGCTGTTCGAAGGCTCCAAGCAGGAGACAGAGACCGCTGAGAACCTTCTGGGGCTCGGAGAGACGCAGGGCAGGGGCCACTGCACTCTCCCCCCGGGCACTGGTCACTCTCTAACCGGGCACTAGTCACTCTCTCGCTGGGCACTGGTCACTCTCTCGCTGGGCACTGGTCACTCTCTAACCGGGCACTGGTCACTCTCTCGCTGGGCACTGGTCACTCTCTCGCTGGGCACTGGTCACTCTCTCGCCGGTCAGTGCAGACGCTGCAGACGCTGTGAGGTTTTTCCGCTATCGTCAGAGCGGAGCAGGGCCGCGCATGCGCACAAACAAACACACTGCGCAGCAGTATATCGCCCTCTGCTGGTTGGGAAGAGGTGGGACATACAGGCTGTTTATGGTTGTACGGATGTGGGATCCAGGATCGATATAATTATAGATCCATGTCCAGGATCCAGCAAAGACTGAATGAAATAAGTTGCATTTTCATGATAGTGATAATAATAGTTTCATTATAATAGTTGTATGCATTTTATTTGGGCCATGTACGCACGTCATGCGCATTAGATTAGATTACTACCACTTCCATTGTGCCATCAATTATGGTCGAAATTATCTGAGAAAAGAATAACAGGTTCTTTCCTGCAGGTCTGGCGACCGCCAGAGGAGGGCGCTGTTTCCCAATATGTGAGGACTGCACTCATAAAATCTGACAAAACAACAGTCTATGGACAAAATACACACAGGTTTTGGGAAACTGAGGCCAAAGGGAAGATTTACGTTTTCTCCGTTTGGGCAACATAGTTTTTAGAGTGCAATTAAATCCGTGTAAATTGTGGACACAGCGCCATCTTCTGGCGTTCGCCACTTCTGCACCCTTGGGTTTGCGCGGGAAGTCCAGAGTTCTTTCACTGTCTGAGAACTAGACGAGCTAACTATGGATCTATAATACTAACGGTAACATGTCCGTGAATGTGTGTGGACAGAATGATCAGTTTACTCATGTGTAGCCATTGAAATGCTAAGCTAGTAATTGATTGTTGTGTAGTATTTAGCTGGTGTATATTGCGCCATGTTTTATAAAAGTTTTTCTGTAAGATCTTTTATTTATCCGTGTTTTTCTGCCGGAGAGCCGAGCTTAGTGTGCGGTTAACCGATGTCTCTTTGCAGAACGAGACAGAGCACATGAGAGTCCACTACAGTTATTCTCAGTGTTATTGTTATCTGTGCAGGTGTGTAATGTTTAAGGTGTTTTTCTGTACATTTATGTTTGTTACTGATTGTTAAATGTGCGCTGCACCATTTAGTTAAAGTAGAGTTGTGACTCATACATGATATAACAGTTGCTAGAAAAAGGCATTATTTGGTAAAAAGATATTTCATGATTGTTCATTAAAATCACTTTACGATCACAAGAACTATTTACAATGCTATATTTAGTAAGAAGGTATTGTAATTGTAATATTTGTTCATGTTTAATTACAATATTGTAATTGTTTTAAATATTGTAACTATGCAAATTAGGTATACAATTGAATTACACTGTCTGGAGACGAGAACAAGACAGAGCACATGAGAGTCCACTACCAGTTATTCACAGTGTTTATTGTTATCTGTGCAGATAATAAACTCAGCTGCTACAGCCATCCCAACAGTCTCCATGGGTAATTGAAGAGAAGGCCGGACACACCGGTCACACGTCTTTATGTTCAATGGGAGAACACAAACTGGAGGTAATACTTACTGCACTTCCCTGCGCAGTGAGAGATGGAAGAGCACGCTCTAATGTTGATAGTCACGTCTCTAAAACCTTCTGCACGTCTGACAGGAGCGCACAGCTGAGCCAAACCTAGGACAGGAAAAACACTGAACTATAGTCTCTCTCTGGTCTTTCTCTATAGTCTCTCTATAGTCTCTCTCTCTAGTCTCTCTATAGTCTCTCTCTCTAGTCTCTCTCTCTAGTCTCTCTCTCTAGTCTCTCTATAGTCTCTCTCTCTAGTCTCTCTCTCTAGTCTCTCTCTCTAGTCTCTCTCTATAGTCTCTCTCTATAGTCTCTCTCTATAGTCTCTCTCTAGTCTCTCTCTAGTCTCTCTCTATAGTCTCTCTCTAGTCTCTCTATAGTCTCTCTCTAGTCTCTCTCTCTAGTCTCTCTCTAGTCTCTCTCTATAGTCTCTCTCTAGTCTCTCTATAGTCTCTCTCTGGTCTCTCTCTCTAGTCTCTCTATAGTCTCTCTCTGGTCTCTCTCTCTAGTCTCTCTCTAGTCTCTCTCTATAGTCTCTCTCTATAGTCTCTCTATAGTCTCTCTCTAGTCTCTCTATAGTCTCTCTCTCTAGTCTCTCTCTCTAGTCTCTCTCTATAGTCTCTCTCTATAGTCTCTCTCTATAGTCTCTCTCTATAGTCTCTCTCTATAGTCTCTCTCTGGTCTCTCTATAGTCTCTCTCTAGTCTCTCTCTCTAGTCTCTCTCTGGTCTCTCTCTAGTCTCTCTCTGGTCTCTCTCTATAGTCTCTCTCTATAGTCTCTCTATAGTCTCTCTCTATAGTCTCTCTCTGGTCTCTCTATAGTCTCTCTCTAGTCTCTCTCTCTGGTCTCTCTCTAGTCTCTCTCTAGTCTCTCTCTATAGTCTCTCTCTAGTCTCTCTATAGTCCCTCTCTATAGTCTCTCTCTATAGTCTCTCTCTATAGTCTCTCTCTGGTCTCTCTCTCTAGTCTCTCTCTCTAGTCTCTCTCTCTAGTCTCTCTCTGGTCTCTCTCTGGTGTCTCTCTGGTCTCTGGTATTTCTCTCTGGTCTCTCTTTAGTCTCTCTATAGTCTCTCTCTATAGTCTGTCTCTATAGTCTCTCTCTAGTCTCTCTCTATAGTCTCTCTCTATAGTCTCTCTATAGTCCCTCTCTATAGTCTCTCTCTATAGTCTCTCTCTATAGTCTCTCTCTGGTCTCTCTCTCTAGTCTCTCTCTGGTCTCTCTCTGGTGTCTCTCTGGTCTCTGGTATTTCTCTCTGGTCTCTAGTCTCTCTCTGGTCTCTCTCTATAGTCTCTCTCTCTGGTCTCTCTCTAGTCTCTCTATAGTCCCTCTCTATAGTGGGCGGCACGGTGGCTGAGTGGTTAGCACTCTCGCCTCTCAGCAAGAAGGTCCTGGGTTCAAATCCCGGTGGGACCAGGGCCTTTCTGAGTGGAGTTTGCATGTTCTCCCCGTGTCTGCGTAGGTTTCCTCCGGGTGCTCCGGTTTCCCCTACCACTAAAAATATGTACAATAGTTCTGGCATGTGCCTCCTGTACTGGCCCCACTCCCAAAAATAACAATTGTAAACCGCTTTGAGACTCCGATGTGCAGTGAAAAGGCGGTATATAAATAAACATTACTACATTACTACATTACATAGTCTCTCTCTATAGTCTCTCTATAGTCTCTCTCTCTAGTCTCTCTCTGGTCTCTCTCTGGTGTCTCTCTGGTCTCTGGTATTTCTCTCTGGTCTCTCTTTAGTCTCTCTATAGTCTCTCTCTATAGTCTCTCTCTATAGTCTCTCTCTATAGTCTCTCTCTGGTCTCTCTATAGTCTCTCTCTGGTCTCTCTGGTGTCTCTCTATAGTGTCCCTCTATAGTCTCTCTCTATAGTCTCTCTCTATAGTCTCTCTCTCTGGTCTCTCTCTGGTGTCTCTCTGGTATTTCTCTCTGGTCTCTCTCTTTAGTCTCTCTGGTCTTTCTCTCTAGTCTCTCTTTTTAGTCGCTCTGGTCTCTCTCTAGTCTCTCTCTTTAGTCTCTCTGGTCTATCTCTGGTGTCTCTCTCTGTCTCTCTCTGGTCTCTCTCTCTGGTCTCACAGCTCACAGTCACAGAACAAACAAGCAACATTTTAATAGTGCATCAATAAAAGTGAAGCAGGATCTTAGAGTTTGTGGTAAAGTTTCAATCTTTCTTCCAAACCCTGGTGAGTGTGTTTGTCCCATACCTTGTGGGCGGAGCCTCATGTTAAAAGCTCACAGGTGAAGCTCATCAGGGGAGACACAGGGACAGACACACCCAAGGGACAGGACTGTTTGTTGCTTTGTCCAAAATAAATCTTTGAGTTACACTTTTTATTTTGAGTTCTGTCGTTGCATTTTGACACTCGGGCCAGCTTCCCCACAGTGAAAAACATCCAAAATAAAACTAACTTTACCGTAGTCTTTCAATGGATTTTATGGAACATTTGAAGGAGAAACACAATAACTTAAAAAGCGACTGCATCATCAGATTGAAACCCCAGAGCACGCTCATGAATTTTCAGTTTCACTTCTGCGTTCATCCATGTGTTCTGACTAAAGTGATCCTTAATGATATTCTGGTGAAAGTATCCAGTCACAGCGTCAAAAAATGCATTAACGTCATCAGACTGAACTACAGACCAGTCAGTGGCCTCAAAGCAGCCTCTTCAGACCAGCACAAACGGGAAGGAAGAAGGAGAACAGAGGAGGTCAGACTTCCCAAAAGGAGGTCTGAGACTGGACCTGTCACCTCCCTTCACGTTGCTATAGCAGTGATCAAGAATGTGTGCTCCTGCTGTAGCTTGAGTCACATGTTGGTGAAGGTCGAGAGTACAGACTTGTGATGATGACTGCATCAGGATCTCTCTGTTACACCCTGGCTCTACAGGTGCAACATTAAGGACAACAGGCAACTAAAAGTTAAGATAATTTATTTACAGCAACAAAAGTCTAGGGAATGAACACAAAGAAAACCAAAATGGGAAGGCAAGTTTAGGGGTGAGCAGGTGTGGGGGAGAAGGGCTGCTGCTGCCAGGACAGAGAGAGAGAGAGAGAGACATGGGTGGGTTAGGGTTAGGGTTAGGGCAGGAAACATGAAACAGGCTGGAAATCCTGGAGGTGGAGCCTGGACCTGGAACAGGTCTGAGGCAGTTCCACATAACACTCAGATCCTGTAAAGCTTCAGTATAGTTCGATCGTGAGTGGATTTAAACAGCGCAGAAAAACATCACAGAAAACTCTGGGGAAGAGAAGATAAACTTTATTATCCCGAGGGGAATTTGCTGTAGGATACAGTGCTACAAGAATCTGCATGAAAGAAAAAAGAAAGAAAAGGAACAATTACAGGAAAGTGCAGTCGTGCACTGAAGTCTCTGTTTGGTCAAAAAAATAATTATATATATATATACACAGTGGGGCAAAAAAGTATTTAGTCAGCCACTGATTGTGCAAGTTCTCCCACTTAAAGTAGTACTAGAATTTAATATGCTGCTATCCAGAATATATAACTACAATATGTGTTTATAATATTTCGGGTGTTCATTTTGACATGTTCGAGATGAATTATGTTAAAAAAACAGCTTTGAAGTCGGACCTTTTCACTTCCGCATAGAAACGCTAGGGGGAGCCAAAATGGCGGCGATGACGTAGG